TCGACGAGTGATAAAATGGTGATAGATTTATAAAAACATTGCTATATATGTGCCAAAATAACTGTAAAATACAAATAAATGTTGAAAATGACAAAGATGGTCTTGATTTGGACTCGATGGACCGTGGTCTTGGTCTTGTCTTAGTCTCAGCCTTTAAAAGTCTCAATCTTGTCTCTGTCTCGATCCTCAGAGGTCTTGGCCTTGTCCTGGTCTTGGGACCCTGTGGTCTCAGACAGGTCTTGGTCTCGATTAGTGCGGTCTTGACTAAACAATAGTGTCTGCCATCTGCTTGTCTCTGTGGATATGTTATTGTTTAGCCTAGAATGTTCCACAGTATGACATTAAACATATCCAACTAGCATTTAATCATTACAAGTGCTTTTATTTCTCAAAATTGCAATCCTTCTGTGAATAGGGGTGCCTCTCCACAGATCTGATTTGTAATCTAGCATAGTTTTGTAACCTGCTAGTCTCATTTTGTGATAAATGTTAGGCAGTGCATCTTGAAGTTAAATTAGACAATTGAAAATATTATCAATATTACTCTCCCAGAATTAAAGGAGATCATGTGCAGGTTTGCTTTATTTTGATAACGTATTACTCATCAAGAATTTAAAACTGGAGGAGCAGGACTTCACTGGCGATAAGGCAAAGCGTCAATCACGGGGACTCAGGGAGACAGTGGTTGGTCACACCCGGAGGGGCCCAAACTGACCTAAATACAAAACAGCAACACAAGGCAAGGGAGATAACGTTTGACACTGCTTCACCTCAAAAACCTCCTGCAATATTCTGACGTGATACTGAAAATTAATCACGTTTTTATTAAAAAAAAATATCTAAACACAACGAAATCTGTTCAGTTTTCTTACCTGGGCCACATGCCTTAGTTGTGGATTTATCGATTCAAGGAAATGCTGTGATCTGATTGTTACTGACGTGTGATTTCTTGTTGTTTTTCACACTAAAATAGATAGAAATGGTCAAGATTAAAACTGATTCTTGCCAGTAAAGAGGATTTCCTGTGCGTTGAGCTCGTCAATGGCGCGGGGCAGGTTTAGTCTGAAGGCGAGCAAGGGTGACACCGTGTGGACAGAGTACGTATTGCAGTTTAAATAATAAATACATCTTGCGGATTAGTCAAAATAATCCTTTCCCCCTCTTATTAATGTATTTTATTCCATTGCATAAGAATAGCCTGCTTATTTTAATTATAATAATCTTAAAATTAGACAAACAGAAGATATTTTCCAAATGCAGCTCACCACTCTTTCTTCTTTGCAAAATCCATTATGTTATTCTGATTAGGATAGGTTACACATATACTTAACATCATGGTTTGTTCTGTAAGTTTTGTCTATTGCATTGTATTGTATGTATGTCTCAGTTATCTGTGTTAATTGTTCTGTTTTGTTTTTAACTCACTCGTAAATGAGAATTTCAATGGCATTCCAATATTATATTTTAAGTCTGTGCAATATATTGCTTTATTTTAATAATAAACACATACATATACACACACACATAGAAACTTAAAGGTGTGTTTGTATGTATAGGTACCCTCTCACTTTATGGGGACCTGCTTTCTTAGAGGCATAATAGTCATAAGGTTTTAGGTTAATTGGAACATGATGACTATGGTTAAGGTTAGGATCAGTCTGTAAATGAATGCAAGTCAATGTAATGTAAGAAGCATGGAAACCCAACATGTAGAGGTGTTGCCATTGTAGTGCATACTTGTGTGTTGGTGTGCACGTGTTATTACCCTGTGCACGGAGAATCCTGCTGACCTAAAAGAGTGGATGTTCATGACCAGCACGCGCAGCTCTGGAGTGTCGTAAAGACTCACGCTCATCGGATAGTCTATGAGGCCTGACGCGTGACATCGACCTCACACAAGAAAAGGGAAAAAATAAACACATAACTGCCCGGTAACAAGGCCTCCCTTCCCATTGGCTGATGCTCAACATGTTGCATTGATCTTACTCTTTGTGCTAAAATGACACACGCTTGTGATGTACAGGCTCACGTGCACAACTACAGACATACAGCTGCAGCCCATGCGCACACTCCACTGCACTCTCTGTGGGCTTCCATGCTTCTAACATTATACTGATTTACTTTAATTTCATTTTCTGGAGACTGATCCTCAACCTGAACCCAAACCTTAAAGAGCCTGATCTGTTATAATGTTGTTTCCTCATTAAAAACATACCTGGAGTTGTGTTTGGTTTCATTCACACATGTTAAACACACGAACCCTGCATATTTAGGTTGAGTTCTTCTCTCAAACAAAATGGTAAATGGTCACGTTATGTGCTTTTCCACCTTCAAGGCACTCAAAGCACTTCACATCAAGGAACCACTCACCCATTCACATACCTTTGTAAGCAAACAGTGGGGGCGAGGTGGTTTGAGTGTCTTGCCCAAGGGTAGAACGACAGCATTCATCTGTGGGAGCTGGACAGCCAGTACCAATGATGTTTTATTTTGAGAGCAGATTAGAACCGCCAACCTTCAGATCAGTGAATAAGTCCCCTATCAAAGGAGTTACTGACAGAGAACACTCAGTTCCACCTTGTGATGTCATGTGGTAATACAGGAAGTGCTCCACTGTGGTTTTAAACCCCGTTCCTTCACTAGAATCATTTGGATAACTTCAGCACAGAATTGCCTGTCTCTATTGAATAAGATAAGAGGTGAATAAGATAAAAGGTAGCTGTTAACTTAAAAACTGCTTCATGACATCTTAAGACGGAACAGAGCATTTTGAGCTGTGAGCTTGAGATGCAGTCAGACTAATTTATTTATTTCTTTGTTTATTTATTTATTTATTTATTTCATATAGTATAAAAAGACATCAACAGTGTCACAACAACATACATACAAGAAATGAATGAAAAGGAGCAGAAAGAAGAGTCATCTTATGTTATCTGCCCCCTTTTCCCTTTTCCAGACAATACATCAACACCGATAGTTACTAAAGATTTCAAATCAGTACATTTCAGTTCAGGCACATTTATTAATCATTTTCAAACAGAAATCTTCACTATTATGCATTAATCATAAAGGAGGATTTCTCAAACATGTGTGAATCCAACAAAACACATCTCCAGGTATGTTTCTGAGGAGGTAACAGCATTATAACATGTCTTAAAGCTCACAAGAATCAAAGTTATGTGATATAGGACCTTTAACCTCAATCTTAACCTTGACTATTTAACCCATATCTGAACTTTAAACAATGCTGATGATGCCATGATCTAATAATAAAGGATTTAAGTTGTGGGGACCTGATCTTTCCACAGATACCCTGCACATGTATACTATGAGAGCTGGACCACAATCAAACCAGCGTGGCTATTTTTACTTCAACATCACTTTACCCTCCAGCCAAGATTAGCACAGGCCCTGGCATCATCAGTGCTGTCATGTTGTTGTTACACATTAAACACACGTTTCCTTATTCGATCTTTACTTCCTCTGTGTGGAATCATGTTAAGCAGCTTCTTTAAACATACACTCCTACTGCTACTTACAAAATTATTATAATGTTGCTGTATCCACTGTGAATATTATTATAACCAAAGATTTTGAGAGGAGATTGGAATATTAATGGTGTACTATGTAACTTTTTTGGTGAGGGTCTGCTATCTGCTTGTCTCCATAGAGATGTTATCATGTTGCTTGAAATATTCAGCAATATTCAGCAGTATTCAGCAGTAACGACATTATGCCTTTATTCAATGGTGTGTTTTTATACTTAAAAATGTTGCTAAAATATTTTGAAACATGCATTCTTATTGTGAGCTGATTCACTTTTCCACAGATCTGACCTGTAACTTGACCTGGGGTGTTAGCTGCTTGTCTCCATGGATACAAGAAGGTATACAGCAGATCCATCATCAAAAAGTTGCATAGTGCACCTTTAAGCTTTACACACAGTTATACTACAGTAGTATGTTGCAATAGTGGAGTACAATGTCCAGGCACTGCTCTGGCCTGAGGTGGTTCTGGAGAGATAATAAGAGAATCTTGAGAAAGTGAGCGTGCTCCACACACCAGGGCCCTGATCGCCCACACCTCATTTGAGAGGCCACAAGAAACAGTCCACAGATGAAAGCCTCAGCCCCACAGTTGGAGATGAGGAAACAAGGGCCCTCGCAGTAAAAGGCGGCCATTCAAATGAGGGCTTAATTGTGTGATCTGTTACCCCAGTGAAGAGGCGTCAGGGCCGGACCACAGCTCTGTTCATTGGTACAAACAGGGAGCAGCTGAGTCTGAGCACTGCCACTTAGTGCTTAGTGATAGAAAGACAAGCAGAGAGAGCTAATAACTCAAGTACAAGGAAGAATCAGTTTAAATGTTGTATTTTTTTTTTCAAATTCATTTTATAAAGCGATTTTTTTTCCAGATGCACAAAGTTCACTGTACTGTTGTGTGCATTATTCATTCATTCAGTCCACATTCGGTGTTGGTAAGCTACTATTGTGGTTACAGCTGCCCTGGGGTAGACTGACAGAAACGACCACCACCAATTACTCATGAGTGTGGTGTGTGTATACTACGCAATGCAGGTGAAGTGCCTTGCCGAAGGACACAACAACCACTGGAACCCCACTGTGGTCTCCCAAACAAGTGCGAACAAGACCCAGCCTTATGTAGCTTCTGAGATCAGACAAGATCAGGCTTTAAAAGGAGGCTTGGTCACAAGTTTGATAAAGGAAGTCATTTTTGAACATTTAAGATGCCAAAAAAATATCAAGCACAAAAAACACTGTTTTTTTTTTTACAACAAAATGAAACATTTAGCTGCCAACAGTCCTTTGAAATATAGACAATACTGGATAAACGCATAAGAGCAGTATATAGTAGTATAGTAGTAGTATATAGAGTAGAGTACGCAATACACTCATGTGCATGTAAACTAAAAACAAGTTTAAAATACAGCAGAAAGCATTTTAATCTTGATCTTAAAGAAATTTTAATAATTCAACAACTTTTCTTTGTGATTTCTGTTTATTGGGAAAAATAAATACATAATCTGTGTAAAAAGAAAAATGTTTACAAAATACATTGAATGTGTTTTTATACGATTGATGAGACAAAAAGATAATCTTCAAGGTATTTATTTGAAAGTGCAGGTGTGACGCTTATTTGTGAAAGCCATTACTTATTCTGTGGAAAAAAACACAGTGAAATTATATTTACAAATCTCTATATAGATGTAATAGTCAAAATGATGGAGACAGTTACCTGCATTTGTTCATGAACCCAGTTAATAAAATAGGAGACATTGCCATAGACTCCCGGTCTGTTTTTCCAAGCACAGCCAATGCCCCAGCTCGTGTCCCCAGCCAGCCACCATACACCTTCCTGCTTGACCACCAGAGGGCCCCCACTGTCTCCCTGCCATTGGATTTGAAGACAATGTTTGTTGAGATTATGTAATTAAAAGGTCTGTGCCGGATAAGTTTTATATGTGTTTGAGCAGAATTTGTGTTGTCCCAGTACAGATATGTTGTATAAGCAGCTCCTGAGGTCAGAATAAGTCTGCATCTAATTCTGATGTATTTCATTGTCTGTGATGGAAATTCATATTGTTGAAAGATTTCTCTCAATCTGTCTTTGTGTAAATGAATGTGATTTCTATTTGAGACCCAGACCAGTCATTAACATGTGTAAAGGCTCAGCAGACACAACTGTCCCCACCTACAGGAAATGGTGTATTATCTCTTAGCTGTCTTTAAATGTATGTTAAGCTGATAAACACCAGCCTCTGGAAACAAGTCACTCTACTTTGATATAGATGTAACTTGTATTTCTGTATAAATACTCAGAGCAAATGCTTTGGGGCAGATACTTGGGCAGAGATTTGGGACAAATGGAGTAGGAACATACTGCTGAGGAGGAGAGGCTGTTGGGCTCTGGCAAGAACAAGCCTACACCCTGTCCATATCTGCTGTAAAAAAATAAACCTTGGTCTATATTACAAAAACTTATTGGGCTTTGCAAAGGGATTAATTATTTATCATCAAAAGAGATATATAAATTTTTCACAACATAGGAAGGAAGGAATCAGGAAGTGTGAGATTAGCATGCTAGTTGTTTTTTGCATTACCGTGATGACAAACTCTGCCTGTCTGTCTTAAAGTTCTGAAAAGCATTTATAACTCATGGTGGTGAATAATAAGGATGCTAGGAGTGCATATGGTAAGTGAGGAATAACTTTGGACCACTGCAAACTGTTTAAAATAAACCAGTTCAGTTTTTTATGTTTTTAAGGTTAAGGCAGTAAAAATCAGGTACAGCACCTTTAAGCAGAGTTCAAATAATACATTAATAGTGGTATGGTGGCCTACCTGGCACGAATCCACTCCTCCCGACAGTTTCCCAGCACAGATCATTGTTTTTGTAACAGCCCCATCCAGTACAGAGGGTCTGTTACAGGTTTCTCTATGGTAAATAGTCACCTCAGCCTGGTTCATTATGTCAGGAGCCGATCCTGGGAAATATTAATGATTCACATACAGCTCTGTTAGGCATTAAAACATGTTAAACACTTCAAGGTGCCCTATGGACCCTTTCTAGTGGAAGAAGTGAAGTGGAGTCTGTGTATCTCCATGGAGATAGTTATTGCTTTGCCTGGAATGTTCCTCAGTCTTTTAACAAATCTTGCAGGTGATGCGAACCAGGCTAAAGACTGGAGAGAGGTGACCCTCAGTAATACAGGCTGCCTTTCATGGTATTTTTAAGCAACAAAAACCCATGTGATTTAATAAAAGTGAGGTAGATACTTAAATGCAACATACTAGGCGTCATATAAACTCCACAGAGACAAGCAGGTGGTGTACGCGTCTTCAGAAAAGTGACAAAGTGCAACTTTAAAGCACAAAAGTGACTATGAAGCAATGTTTTATTGCATTAATTTCAGTTTAAAATAAAAATACACAATTTACTGTATATATTTTACATTGTTATCAGCTAAAAGCAAAAAATTTGTCAATTTTTCTACACTAAATACATTAAAGGTACATTGTGTAACTTTCTGGTTGGGGGTCCATCACCTGCTTGTTTCTATGGGCATGTCACTGCTCTGGCTAGAACGTTCCACAGTATGACATTAAACAGCTCTACCTTACATTTACACAATTATTGGTGGTTTTACGGCTCAAAAATACCTAGAAAACTGGCATTCTGACTGTGAGCGGAGTTGCCTCTCCACAGATGTGACCTGTAACTTGGTCTGGTTTGGTCTTCATAATGATAGAAAGGTTTAACACCATACTGGGAAACATTCCCAACAAAGCAAAGCACAAAGACCCTCCATCAGACACACAATGCATTCACCTTTAAGAAACTTAATGAAAATAAATAAGTAAACAGATTATATAGATATTATTTGACTAAATCTTGATCAAAACCAAAAAAGATGTTACCCAAAATACAAAATTTTTAATTCTTGTCAAAATTAAGACTGGTCTTACCCGATGACCGCAGTGCTCCCCATCCTGTGATCCAGGCTTGTCGCACTGGTGACAGATTTACCCCGATGTTGGGCAGACACACTGGTTTAACTCTGGCTGTGAATGAAGCACAATCATAAGAAACTGAAACATACATTAAAGACCAGCAATGGCTATGGAAGATTATGGCTCACATGAAAAGGTCAAAGGTGAACTCAGCTTCAGAAGAGCAATGTCATTGTCATTGGTATCCGGGTTATAGTTTTCATGGCTGACGATTTTTTCCACGGACTTGGGTGTGTGATAACTATTCATCTGGGATAAGCTGATATCACCGTATTGTACCCGCCACATGGATGCTCGATTATATCTGATATTGAAAAGAGAAGAGGAAGCCATGAAGACAAAACTTTAAATCTTATGATGAAGTATGATGATGCAAATCAGGGGTGTCAAAATTTAAAACTGGGACTATGTCATGGGCCAAACTAAATATTTACTGAAAGATTTTAACAACATCTGCATGTTTTCTCTTCTTTCGAGATATGTAATGTTAAACCTTTTCTTATTAAAATTAATGTTTAAGAATAGTTTTTCTTAAACATTGAATCTAGAACAAGCATAAGACAAAATAATAACACAATTTTAAATAAATAATGTCTCTACAGCCTACCTGTAGCAGGCGGGCCAGCTCTAATACATATTTTATATGATTTCACTGGCCAAATCTAATTTTATCGCAGGCCAAATTTGGGCCTGAGTTTGACATGTCTGATGTAAATAGTGGCTGCTATTGTATATATAGTAAACATATATACCTGTTATAACACATTGATTGATTGATTGATTTTATGGTTTGAAAGATTATCTGCATTAGTTGAGTTGATTTTAATACTTATCAATATTCAAGGCCCTATACTCAAAGTTTTTTCATGTATTTAAGCAAAGTTTTCTTGTATTACATCAGCAGCTCTTGTGGTCAAAATAATTCTACTGTGTACTATCTGCATTTAATTATGAACCGGTTTATTGTTAGATAATCAGGAATTGCACTGTTAGCAAGTTGTTGCGAATATTACGAGCCTTACGAGTAAAAGCAGTGCGCCGCTGACAGGATCCACATGGAGCTAATGATGGAGCCTCCACACACATGCTGTCCTCTGATCTGCAGACTGACCTGCCACGGCCACGCCCCGTTCACCGCCTCAGTGCCACCCACAATACGAGAACTGGGTGCAGCCGAGCTCACTCCACAGCCTGAACAAATGCAAAACACAGTCAAAAACACTGCTAAAGACCAACCTCTGCTGTCACTCTGAAATAGCACAGAACAATATGGGAAGAAAGTGTCACTGCGATATAGTATAGTATTGTGATTACGATGCAAAAGGTTTGCAATATTGTATATATTTGCAAAAATTGTTATTGTTATATTTGCAAAATTGTTAATTGCTATGACAACAGTCCTAACTTTTAATCATTCTGAAACCAACTAAAACTACTTAGCAGTTTTTATGCATAATAAGAAAAGATTTTTTGTTTGTTTGTTTGATGAGGAAATGATGGTATAGCAGTCTTTGCAGTTTACCAGATGCACCCATTCAAATTGCGATTTTGTATCAATTTCAATTAATGTCGCAGTTCTACTGTGAAAAGTATGTTTGAAAATAGGCATTGTGATTTTGTGGTCTGGCACATTAAAAATGATTCCAATGGAGGAACAGTGGAACAGTAACAGGGTCATGGTGCAATGGCAAAGATACAAATACGGAGTTAAAGTTCATATGTCCATGTTCAGGTTAATAAGTGTTTTAAATTTTACTTTTGAAATCCTCGCGTTTGCTGTGGGCAGCCTGTACAGAAGGTAAATACAAGGCTGTTCAGCTCTTAGTTTCACTGTGGACCTGATACAAGTGACTAAACGCGCCCAGTCAACTTTGATTGTCTTTCCCTTTGACAAACACAGAGCCAGTGCTGTGCGTGCATGTTCTGCTGCAGCTGCTGGTGAAGCCGCCTTAACGTTAACGTGCGACTGTGGTTTCGTGAGGTTACGCGTGTAAACGCTGACGCTTGCAGTGGAGCCAGGCCCTAACCTTGCAGCCAAGAGCGCAATCTCACTAAACCAAGTATCCCGACTCCTGAGGAGGGTAAGGAAGGTGGTAACATTTTTTCACCGAAGCACAACAGCTGCCCATGTCCAATAATAATGTGCTTAAAGTCAAGTCAAATTCAGTTTGTGCATGATTACATTACTAACTATAATTTTATAACTTTTTTAATGCTGTATCCTAAATTGTGGATAATGAAGCTATCATAGCATATGATGAAGTATATTTCTGGAGATTTAAAGATTAAAAAAATAAGTGACAACAAGAACCGTGCCGAACTGAAAACTGCAACCTTAAACCGCAATAGGAACCGAACTGTAAATTTTGTGAACTGTGCCACCCCACTCCACATGTATTTTTAAAACGAAGACATAACAATAACAACAACAAATGTTACAAGTGAATGTGTAAGATTTTCCCCCTAATTCTTGTTCTTCAATGGCATGTGAGAATAAAGCCAGCCCAGTACAACCAAAGCCTTGTGCATCACTTGTTGTGTCAAACCGAGTGACAGGCATGTACGATGAGAGCTATTAGGACGGACGTGTGGAGCATATGGTGCAAGGACTCAAACATGACAGACCCTGACAAGCTAAAAGTATCTAACACATCCAAAACATCAACAAAACCATGTCCAGAATAATTAAAAGTGCATGTGACAGGTTTTCAATTTTATTCTAAGTATTATTTGGTTTGATGAGATGCAAACTCAAATCCACAGCTTTTTGTCTCCATGGAGATAATAATACTTTAGTTTAAATAGTCCACAGTATGGTGTTTATCTATTGGTATGGTATTTATCTAACTAAACTAATGTATTGCTCAAAAATATCTTTAAAAAAAAAAAAAAAATTCACTGTGAGTGGAGTTGCCTCTCCACAAATCTAACCTGTAATTTGGTTTCCAATCTCTGTGGAGATTCATAAGTTTACGGCCATACTGTGGACCATAACATATTTTTTGATGAACCTTTGCACACCTGCTATCCAACGGTGAAAATGCCCTATATCCATAATATATATTTTTTGCTTGTAATCATGCATAAAATGTAATCCCCAAATTTGGTACAAATCTGATAATGTTGACATTTCATGAATATGGTAGAGGGCACTATAGTCCTTGCCAGTCACCAGCTCATTGTCATTGGCTTGGGCCAATAAATAGAAAACATTAGCTATATGTATTAGTAATATTTATATATATTGCACATACACAGAGCACACATATTTTCAACACAAATTAGTGTAGAGTATCTTAAATGCTGACCTAACCCTTGGACCATAACACATGGATAATGACATATCTTTACTGTTTGATGTCAAACTGATATAAATAATATCATACAGTGCTATGGTACGATGTGTTTTGTTTTAAAAGGTCTGATCACCATGGAAACGAAACAGGTTCTAGAACTCTCTCTTTATATACATATATATAGGGAGAGGCGCCACTCAGTTTGAACCATAACTTCTCAGCAGACTGGTGAATACACACACAAACATGGATAGCTCGTCGTCTTTCTTAAGCAAGCCCTGGTACCTCTACACTACAGAGGATGATGCTCACCTCTACGATGAGGGCTTTGATCTGGAGGCTCTGCTCTGCCCCACACCAACAGGGAGCGGTCAAGAGCCACAGGAGACCCAACTGGTGTCTCCTCACATCCAGGAGCCCTCAAACCCAGAGGACAGAAGTCTGGCCCAGACCTACCCCCCAGGACCTACCAATCCCGGCCCAGGACCTACCAATCCCGGCCCAGGACCTACCAATCCGGCCCAGGACCTACCAATCCCGGCCCAGGACCTACCATCTCGGCCCAGGACCCAATCCCGGCCCAGACCTACCAATCTCGGCCCAGACCTACCAATCCCGGCCCAGGACCTACCAATCCCGGCCCAGGACCTACCAATCCCGGCCCAGGACCTACCAATCCCGGCCCAGGACCAATCTCGGCCCAGGACCTACCTCCCCCAGGACCTACCAATCGGCCAGGACCTACAATCTCGGCCCAGGACCTACCAATCTCGGCCCAGGACCTACCAATCCTGGCCCAGGACCTACCAATCTCGGCCCAGGACATTCCAACCCTGGTCCAAGACCTTCCAACCCTGGTCCAAGACATTCCAACCATGGAGGAGAGCCCTCTGCTCAGGGCACTCTGTGAAGAGTTGGAGCGGACAAGGGCTGAACTTGCAGACCAGGTTCAATTAAACAATTCTTTGAACCTCAAGCTTAGGTCTCAGGAGAGAATCAACCAAGAAAAAGACTTGAAGATAAAAAAACTCAATGATTCTCTCCAAAAGAAAGAGAAGCAACTGCAAGACGAAGATAAAATATATAAGGAGATCCGGTACCTGTACAACTCCAAAGTACAGGAACATGTACAAATAAAGCAAGAGTTTGCAAACTTCCAGAAGGCAAGGAATAAGAATTACGATTTGGAGATACAACAACTCAAACCTGCAAACAGGTCAGTCCCAAAGGCCTGCAAAGACTTCCAAAACACTGGTTTTGGAGTTGGTGTAGATGTGAGCCAAAAACACAACGAGCAGCTGTCCAGCAAGGTGCAGGAGCTATCTTGTGCACTCTGCTCAGCAAAAGAGGAGATAAATTTCATGAAGTTTTGCTGTAAAAGTGATAGAGCACAACCATCCAGCCGCCCAAAAGGAGCGATCGGACCAAAGGAGCAGAGGAAGGTACTCCAGTGCTACTACCAGCGCAACTACCAGCAGTAAAGCTGCTCCAAACATTACCCTTTGCATTATGAAAAAATAAAACAAAAATAACAAAAATTAACATGTGCTCTTGTTCTCTTAAATGTCTGTGATAGTTATTAATGTTTAAGGTTTCAGATGTCAAAACTTGTATGCAAAGCACATGCCAGCTAGGGGTGTCACGGTTCATGAAAAAAAAAAAAAAATTCAATTCGCTTCTCACGGTTCGGGACGTGTGCGTACCGTACGGTCTCCACGGTTCCTGGCTTATGTATTAGTAATATTTATACATACTGTACATACACAGAGCACACATATTTTCAACACAAATTGAGTGTAGAGTATCTTAAATGCTGACCTAACCCTTGGACCGTAACACATGGATAATGACATATCTTTACTGTTTGATGTCAAACTGATATAAATAATATCATACAGTGCTATGGTACGATGTGTTTTGTTTTAAAAGGTCTGATCACCATGGAAACGCCACTCAGTTTGAATCATAACTTCTCAGCAGACTGGTGAATACACACACAAACATGGATAGCTCGTCGTCTTTCTTAAGCAAGCCCTGGTACCTCTACACTACAGAGGATGATGCTCACCTCTACGATGAGGGCTTTGACCTGGAGGCTCTGCTCTGCCCCACACCAACAGGGAGCGGTCAAGAGCCACAGGAGACCCAACTGGTGTCTCCTCACATCCAGGAGCCCTCAAACCCAGAGGACAGAAGTCTGGCCCAGGACCTACCAATCCCGGCCCAGGACCTACCAATCCCGGCCCAGGACCTACCAATCTCGGCCCAGGACCTACCAATCCCGGCCCAGGACCTACCAATCTCGGCCCAGGACCTACCAATCCTGGCCCAGGACCTACCAATCTCGGCCCAGGACATTCCAACCCTGGTCCAAGACCTTCCAACCCTGGTCCAAGACCTTCCAACCATGGAGGAGAGCCCTCTGCTCAGGGCACTCTGTGAAGAGTTGGAGCGGACAAGGGCTGAACTTGCAGACCAGGTTCAATTAAACAATTCTTTGAACCTCAAGCTTAGGTCTCAGGAGAGAATCAACCAAGAAAAAGACTTGAAGATAAAAAAACTCAATGATTCTCTCCAAAAGAAAGAGAAGCAACTGCAAGACGAAGATAAAATATATAAGGAGATCCGGTACCTGTACAACTCCAAAGTACAGGAACATGTACAAATAAAGCAAGAGTTTGCAAACTTCCAGAAGGCAAGGAATAAGAATTACGATTTGGAGATACAACAACTCAAACCTGCAAACAGGTCAGTCCCAAAGGCCTGCAAAGACTTCCAAAACACTGGTTTTGGAGTTGGTGTAGATGTGAGCCAAAAACACAATGAGCAGCTGTCCAGCAAGGTGCAGGAGCTATCTTGTGCACTCTGCTCAGCAAAAGAGGAGATAAATTTCATGAAGTTTTGCTGTAAAAGTGATAGAGCACAACCATCCAGCCGCCCAAAAGGAGCGATCGGACCAAAGGAGCAGAGGAAGGTACTCCAGTGCTACTACCAGCGCAACTACCAGCAGTAAAGCTGCTCCAAACATTACCCTTTGCATTATGAAAAAATAAAACAAAAATAACAAAAATTAACATGTGCTCTTGTTCTCTTAAATGTCTGTGATAGTTATTAATGTTTAAGGTTTCAGATGTCAAAACTTGTATGCAAAGCACATGCCAGCTAGGGGTGTCACGGTTCATGAAAAAAACGAACAGTTCAGTTCGCTTCTCGTGTGCGTACCGTACGGTTTCCACGGTTCCTGGCTTGTGCTTTGTAGCCTCATGCCCACATGTGACCTGTTTCACTTTGGAGCAAAAGAAGAGGTGTGGAGGGTGGGTGCTGCGCGTCACGTGTAGAAATGGCAAGTAGGAGAGAAGAGGGCCGTCTGGAGACGGAAGATGCGCCTGTTTTGTTATCTTGTGAAACCACAGCCCTGCGTCACCACAAAGGTGGCTCCACTGGCAGCTGCAGCAGGATGTACATGCGCAGCACTGGCTCTGTGTTTGTCAGTGGATAAGCCGATCAAACTTGACTGGGCGCATTTTTGCCCTACGCGAGCGTAAAAATGGCAACTTTTGGACGTGTAACTTTTAGAATGCATGGAAAGTAAATGAGGGCCGCTCCACTGTACACACTAGACGCGCGTATGGAGCAGTGTGTCCTGCGCACATAGATTTCAGAAAATAGGATCCATCCTACTTTTTGATGCTCTACGTGAGCGTAGGCACGTATCCCCATCAAAATACATAGAGAGCATGAATCTTTGGTTGTATTTGTGCATTTACTCGTGGGGCAGTTCTGTGTCTTGTGAAAGAGCCCAGGTCCAGAAAGACTGTTAACATGTTTTTTTAATCATATCATTTGGTGTTTGCAGGAAATATTTATCAAAGTATTATAATACTAAAGCAGCACTTTGTGGAGAAAAGTTGTGAAAAATAGTAAAATTGTAATATATATATTGTTTTTTTAAGCTGAAAATGGGGATTCCTTTTTAGAATTCTGCTCTATGGAATCAGTACACAAGATTCAGGGACAAATTTATACTGACAATCGTATCAATTTTCAGACAAGTATTCCTGTAAATATGCTTTTAAGAAAATAAAGGTGTATTTATACATTTTTTATTTGTCTAACAATAAGTATTAGAAAACCTTTGGTCCTTATTCACAAAATGGCTGCTACTTATGTCACTGTAACTGCTGCCCGTGTCCAACCAGGAAGTACAATTATAAGATTTACTAAAATTGACAAATTAGGGAAAACATGAGAGAGCTTTTTAAAAACATACCAAATATACATTTTACATTTTACTTGTCACATGCACTTAGACTTAGTGTTAAAACAGTTACAAATGACATCCATCATCAAATGAATTTGAATATTGAAATATCAGATCCTTACCAATACAAGTGAGTGCAACAGCTCTGGATGAACAGGTATAACTGGAAAATACATTAAATGAGTCAATATTTGATCAATGTCAAAACAAAATAAAGAATTTCAATGTGCACAAGAGCAGACCTATGATGGAGCTGTGCTTGCATTCGTGCACCATTATTAATGGTCAGGTTCAGCCTCAGGTATCCTGAAGCAGAAAAGGCACTGGTTTGGGTGAAACTCCCATAATCCGCCCTGTTGGGTCACACAAAGAGAAATATGAGAAAAACTTATTTGTCTAGACTTTACAGGAGAGCAAATATTTACTAGTTACACAGTGAAGCAACTAGCTGCCATGATACAGATATTAGTGTTACCACAAATTCTTTCAGTTTCTGTGATGCTCTCAAAATAAAATTATACCATTTGAGTTCAATTACATTTGAAATTTATTTTTAAGGCAAATTGGGGAAGGAGTATCTGATGTTATGGTTACATTTTACATAGCTTGACTCTGTACAGTTTTTTGTATTGCTTAGAAATGGGGAAAGATCTCTTAGAATAAAAAACACATAAGGAAAATGATCGCATCGCATGTGTTTACATTTGGATTGGCCAAACATTGTGGTTAGCTTTGTTTAGTTTCACCTCTTGGGAAGCTGTAGTTCCAAAAAGCCATAACAAAAAGTATACAATAAAATGAATTCAGAATTGTAAGACCAAAACTGTGAATCGAACCTCAAAATGTATTGATTATAAATTTTCCAAAACTTGTATCTCGTCTCAATTTGTAGAAACTGTCTTGTCGCACCCAGAGTATTGATTCATTAACAAATACACTGTAGTCATAGGTCTTATTATATTTCTTTTTTCAGTTTTCTGTTTGAGAGAAGAACTAAACTAAATATGCAGGTTTTGTGTGTTAAACATGCGTGAATGAAACAAAACACAACTCCAGGTATGTTTGTGATGAAGAAACAACATTATAACACAGATCAAACAATAGTGTAACATGGGCCCTTTAATCTACCTCACCTCTCATAGCCCATCTGTTCACACACTGCCTTCCCGTGACTATTGTCAAAGTTATCGGCACAAACTGGGAGCCATGACCCACTGGCTGATGAGTAACTTTCCAGCAGGAAGTTGGAGCCTCGAAATCGGACTGCAACACAGGTAGGGTCAGGTAAAACGATATCTGCATATTTACATGAGGGTGGAGGCTGTGTGTTGAAACTGAGCACACTTACAACACTGGTTCTCGTCTTCTTCATCAGGGCAGTCCTTTACGCCATCGCACCACTGTGAGAGGCTTAGGCACTTCCCGCCACAAGACCTCCCTGAGATACATTGGTAATACACTGCAAGAGATGAAGGTAAATTAGGTTAGGATAACACAGCAACAAATGAAATGTACAAGCAGCCTTAGATTGGCACGAGAGGGATTAAACAAACAAGGCGGAGTCTGTTATTCTATTCTAAGACAGTGGATTATTATAACTATTAGAGAGCACAATGAATGTATATTTAAGTATGGACATTATAACTTTGCCAAGAATGTACCACCGTATGGCATTAAACCTATCCATCTCCATAGAGACAAGTAGATGTAACATGCAAATTCCAAATCTATGAAGCAACCTGCTGACGGTTTGAATGTAGGTTTTTCAAGGTATTTCAAAGTTTAATTCTCTACTGTGGAACCTTCCAAGCAAGACATCTTGCAACATCTCTGTGGAGACACCAGAGAAGTTACACAGTGGACCTTTGAGGCATCGTGAAATTAGCTCACACTCAACTTTGGTCATTTAATGTATATATAAGTATTCAGGTGGGACCAATTCATGTGGAAGAATTGTTTGCCATTCAAGCTATGGGCAAAAATGTACAGTTGGAAATATTCATATACCAAAGTAATCCTCATAATAGGCTGTACATATATGGTAATAATAAACAGAGGTAGGTATTATTAAAATGAACTCACAAAAGTACCAAAGTAAGAGGGAAACAGCTGCTGCGATTATAAACACACACATTGATGTACATAAGATGTACTTCCAGTGGCATTTTATACCTGCAAATGTGAAACAAAAACAATCAGAGTGCAACAGTGATCCATTTTTAGAGTTTTGATATTTGAATTGGGTGCGGCTGTTATGCAAATTGTGCTGAACTACTAAATTTTCATCAGCAACATGCAAGCTTTTCAACAACCAAAGGATTAACTTTTAGACCAAAACCGAAAAGTTAATGATTCAGAGAAAGCACACATCATAGTTCACATTCATAATGTTTGACTGTCTGCGGGTAAAGGTTTACTCTCCTATTCAGCACTGTTAGTATCAAAAGTCTAAAGTATGTGATAAAACCTGTGTCCGTACCTTTCCTTTGTGCCTGGGGTACTTCTAGTATAGAAGTCTGGTGAGTGTTGATGGTGTAAGGATTGGTGGGAACATACTGTGGAGTGCTGTGTGGGACAGTACTACGTGGGATAGGAGGGTACAGATTCTGAGCTGGGGAGTATGGAGGGGGTCTTTCATCGTCATGTCGAAACCCAATGTTATCGTAGACTGGAGAAACCGGGACCTACACATAGAAATCATATCAAATGCAGAATAGCTTAGTCTTAGGTTTGAATATTATTACTATTTATATTTTTAGTATAGTACAGTATAGTACAGTATAGTACAGTATAGTATCGTATATTTTTGCAGATTATTATTACATTTATTGAGATGTGTGAGCTACTGTCCAAATCATTTCCCAGTGGATTATTAAAATTTGTCTAAGTCTAAAATCAGCATGGACAGCTGTATTCTCAAACAACCATCTTCTCTCAAGCCTTAAGTCCTGTACCATATATTATATAGATAAAAGGCCAAATTGTAAATATAAATGTAATGAAAATTGTACCAAGAATGTGCTTTATATTGAGCTAAAAGTTACACCTCTCCCAGTTGTAAAAAATACTTTTACCAATTCACTTCTACTTTGAATCGTCATTTGCGCATTTTATATAACCATAATACTGTTCATTTGTAGTCATATTAAAAGTTTTTCATTAATTCTTTCTTCTCCTTGTCATTTTTTTCACTGTACTCTATCAAAAATGGGAAGTGAAAACATTGGTTGACTCACCTGATTATTCATCTTAAAACTGGTCAGACTGCTTTGCCCACAAAATGTCCAAACTGAAATTCAAACATATGAACTGAAACTCATAAATTTGCACATTAAATATCTTTCTAAAATTTGATAAGACAACACACAAATAAAACATTATAGTTATGACTGCTTCATCTTAAATTTTAGACACTAAATAGAAGAAATGATTATTTAAATCAACACTGTACGTACCTTAAATTCCTGAAAGTTGCTATATATTCCTGATTGCGTGTGCCCTCTTCTCCTTTGCTCTGCGTTATGCTTAGTTCACTACTCAACTCAATTTGGAGCCGGGGCCACACCCTCTCAACAGTGTGCGCAAGCCGTCATTTATACAGCACTTAAAGTCAAACAGCAACCATTGAAACTGCCAGGCATTTTCCAGTCCCTCTTTGAGATAAGCAGAATAAACAGTAAACAATGTCAGTCCCGTATAAATTGATATTAGAGCAGTTATAATTAGAGGTAAATTGCTTGTTGAAGATTACTAAGCAGTCTGACCAAATCCCGTTTAGTTTAATAATAATAATTAATAAAGAGTGATTATAAATATTTAAACTTCCTTCCATTAAAGTTACTGAAGTACTTCTTGAAGTCTATAAATGTTAATCAGCTGAAATCTAAAGGGTAAATAAGGTTGATTTTGACCACTTGGTTATGTGAATACAGTTTATTGTTTATTCTTCTCCAAAGTCAGACTAGATTAATGAGTAATGGCAGAACAATTGCCCAAGTGCTAAACAAAGACATAGAAAACATTTGATTTGAAAGGCTCTCAGGTTAAATCAATGTTTAACTTGTTATTTAACTGTGTAATAGGCACAGACAAAAAAGACTTCAGTCATACAATGCACAGGACAAGATGTTCGTAAGAAACTGATCATCTATCTAGAAATACTGGTCAAACTTTCTAGACATTATTATTAAAAAACACCTTGACAAAAAGTTATGCATACTGCACCCTCTAATGGACAATGAAAATACCAAGGTTTGACTTAAATTCTCAAATTTATGTAGATAAAAAAAACTAAGGCCATTGCATTTAGATTTATTTTTACACGGCACACTTCAACGCTTTTATGACCTATTCAGTTAAATATTAAATATTTGCACAACATGTCCAAAGAAGGAGTGTCTTAGACACTAGGCATGATGTCACCAGGAGTGTTTATTCCCCTGTTGAAACGGTAACAGTCTACTTCCTTACAGGCAGTGTCATTTTGGACAATCACATGAAAAAGAAAAAGGTCAACAAAAAGGTCATGAGTAGTATTCTGGTTGAAGAACAGTTTTCATGAAGCACAGATCCTACAGTTTCTGGATGATAATAGAGGATGCCCCGCCCCCTCCATTGCAGATACCAGCCAGTCCATACTCTCCAGACTTCAGGTTGTGAACCATGTGACCGACAATCCTTGCTCCAGACATGCTGATGACAAAGAGATTTTGATAAGGATTTTTTATTATTATTATTATTATTTTTTTTAAAAGACATTTTGATGATCTTACCCGATGGGGTGTCCCAGAGACACGGCTCCTCCATTCACATTCACTTTTTCAGGGTCAATACGAAGCATCTTAATGTTTGCCAGAACCACCACACTGAACGCCTCATTGATCTCCCACATAGAAATATCCTCCTTTTTCAGTCCCGCTGCCGCCAGTGCCTGGCCACAAACAAAGGCAACAGCCAGATCAGCTTTAAGCTGCGTTTATGTTTGAACTGTTCTTAAAACTTTTATTCAAAATCATTTCTCACCTTTGGTACTGAGAATGCAGGAGCAATTGGGAAATCAATGGGAGCAACTGCAGCATCAGCAAATGCTGTAAAAACAATTCAAAAAATTACACAGAATACAGTGTGCCAAATCAATATAAATTTAACGGTGCACATGTATGGTTTCCCTTTATGCTAGTAACTAATACTGTGTTAAACCGTTCCTGTCTCGGTCCTCGGACCGTGGTCAGAGGACACAGGGGAGAACCGTCTTCGTCTCCAGGGCCAAAGGGGCACAGCAGCCGCTCGTCCCTCGGGGTTTAACTCCCGTGTTCGGAACCTCCAGTGAGTGCGTGGGCTCAATAAACAAGTCAGGTCTTCGCTCAAGACTCGTGGTTTTATTTGCCGTACTGCACTAAATAACATGGCACTTGATCCGGTCGCCTCCTCACCATTCATGTCACACATTGCAAAACTAAAAGCAGACAGACACCCGTACACTCCGCGGGCCCATTCAAAAGCGCGTGCCTCCGGGGGCGCGCACGCAGTCCCTCACTCACGCTCACGCCACTCACCACTCTAAACATTGCACATAGGAGTACATATATATCTCATAACAACTGTATAGCTAAAGAGGTAACAAAAAGAAACTATTACTGAGCCTCTTTAATATGTATGAACAAAACTGGTCTCATAATAAAATATTACAGTATCTTAATATATATCCACCGTTCAGAAACGCGTTTTTGAGTGAAACTTACACACAATCCTGGCGAGAGGGGTGACGTTGAGCCTCTTTGCAGCATCAGCGGTCATTAATACAAGAGCAGCAGCTCCATCATTCAGGGTGCTAGCATTAGCTGCTGTAACAGTGCCTAAAAACAAGATTCAGTGTAATAAATATGATGACATGAGAACAAGAGATGAAACCATGAAATATTATGTATTACCGTTCTCTTTTTGGAAGACAGCCTTCAGTTTGGGGACTTTACTGAAGTCCACTCTTCTCCATTCTTCATCCTCAGACACAACAACATCTGGTTTACCTAAAGGAGATTTTTGTTATAAAATAGTTGCTTTTCATATGAATTGACAATTACAGTTTTTTCATTTGCTTAGGCACATTTTCTGAAACTTTTCATAAATCTGGGAAATCTTTTGCAAATCTATTTGCAAAATGCAAGACATAAAACAATCCAGATTACCTGGAAAAAGTAAACTTTGTTCTTTCTACAAGAGTGTTTTAGATTTTGTTCACACTTTTTGGTTAAAATAGAACACAGGCATCAGATTTATAAACTTATCAAATCATTATCCACTTTTAGATTTGTAGTATGATGGAGTTACAGACTTGTATCACTCTGTTTCTGATGGTTTGAGTGCGGTAAATGCTGTAAATATATTTAAGAGATTACACAATCATTAGGAAACAAATGAAATGAATGAAAACCAGATTCACACAGGTTTTCACTACAGAAGTTTTTAATGTTGTATTTTTTGTGCTTCTATGTATGTCTATAAAACATCTTCATATTGTGATTCATGTAAGTTCTAAGTCGTTTGTATTTTTGGTCTAGTTTGGTCTAGTTGATCATTGTGTTTTAGTTAACTTTTGTAGGTTTGTAAATTTGATGTGAAAGTTCAGACTTGAAAATGGATACAAGTTTGTGCCAACATGAACTTAGTGTTTGTTCCTTGAGTGGCAAGTTTTACAAACTTTCAGAAAAGCTCTATAAGTTTTATTTACAATTGCTTTACCTCTCTGGGGAATGCTAACTGGTACAATCTCTTTGGCCAGGACTCCAGACTCGTATGCTGCTTTGCTGCGACTGTAGGAGCCAATCGCATAAGCATCTTGCTCTTCTCTTGGGATCTTGTAGACCTTTGCCGTGTTTTCTGCACAGTTTCCCTACATGAAAACACATAGTTAGGATCAAAATACTGAACAATTGTAAATGGGATGTAATAGAAGCATAAGAATGTGAATTCCCAAAAAATGGTGAGTCACACAAGGAAGTCAATTTTTGTTTAATTATTAACAAATCAGTTTTTTATGTTTAGGTAAAACAACATAGAGAGATAAGGAAGTCCATTTTTGTATAATCAGTAGCAAATCGGTGACTAATCTTTTCTTATCTTTAGGTAAAACAACAAAGAGATAACTAAACCATTTACGACGTACTTAATATACTACAATGGTGGATGTTACCATGTGAAATTTGTTGTAGACGTCAGTGAGCCCGTCCTTGACAATGAGGTCCTCCATCTTCACTCCTCCGTAGGCAGGGGCCTCTCTGGCCATTACATAAGGCACGTTGGACATGCTTTCCATGCCTCCAGCCACCATGACATCCTAAAACACAACAGTGATCACCAGGCATCAGATCAGTCTAATTATTAATTTCTTCACAACTCATCTTTCCATGACATGCATTGCCAAGGGCAGTGTTATGTTAGTATATTACATTTTTTTCTCTTCTTATACATATAGTTTTAGCTTGAAAACTCTGTATTATCTTTTTCTGGTTGGCAATGCATATCTATAACAATAGTTTCCCCTTTAGCATGGAAAAAAAAAACTTGATATAGCCTATATCCTCACCTGGTGTCCACACATGAGACTCTGAGCTGCCATCATTATGGACTTCATCCCAGATGCACACACCTTGTTTATTGTAGTTGCAGGAGTGCCGAGTGTCAAGCCTGAAACATTTATGTTGTATTAATTAAAAACTGAATTAATTTATGAGAATTTCAGCCAATTCAGCCAATAAAAACAGAGCAGACCTGCTCCGAGCAGAGCTTGTCTTGTAGGAGCTTGTCCTTCTCCAGCCTGAAGAACATTGCCCATGTAGACTTCCTTTACTTCTTCCGGTGCAATTCCTTTAACAAAAGTTATATAAACAATGATGATATCAATATTATTTAAAATAACTAGGGGTATACAGTATATAGCCTCATAAAAGCTGAATAATCCCTTCTTTTGGTAAGTGATGATGTTAGACTGGACCTACCCGCTTGTTCTATGGCCCCTTTTATTGCTACAGAGCCTAGTTTTGTGGCTGGAACAGAAGACAAAGAGCTTTTGAAGGAGCCCATAGGTGTACGCACTGCACTGACAATGACCACCTCCTAAAATAATATACAATGATAAATAATATTCACTGGAAATGTGGTCTCCCAAAAGGTACACTTTAAATGACTATACTTACATTTAGGGAAGGACGAGATGTGTAGCTTCTTGAGAGACATTTGTGACCCTGCAATGGTATAAAACAATGAATGACGTTTACTGAAAAAGCTGGCAAATGTCTGTGGAGTCTGGACAGGTGTATTCATGCAAAACATCACGTTTAAACCTTTGTTCGAGATAAATGTCGTGGATTTGGTGATGTATTAGTAAATAATTGTGGATTAACTCTATTAATGTGAAGTTCCCGATCTCTGTATTTGAGATATGTTTCTTAGTCAAGATACTATCTTGAACTATTAGACCAAAATCAAATAATTCAGCCCTAATTAGTTCTCTGGACAAGATTCAGAGAATGTTGTTCAAGGACGACACGCACTCGAAAAATGGGTTAGCTGCAGCTTTGCTGCTCAAGTGCAATGTTTGTTGTTATTAGCATACCAGTTAGCATACTAAGCTAGTGAATACTATTGCTATCACTGCGATTGGGCAGTTTGCAAACTTACCAAGCGTCTGCAAATATATGCACGCATGGTTAAAAGTCCAGTGGTTGACATTTTGGACAGGCTCAGGGACAGACTAGAAAACACGCCTTCTGCTGCTCTCGGGAACTCGAACCCTCAGCTCTTCACCTTGGCTCCAGCAGAGCCCCAGTCAGCCAATCACAGCGGGAGGTGTGCGCTTCCATTACGTACTAGGCCGCAGTGGATTGTGGTTAGTGTAGTTTTTTCTTTCGAGGCGTCCGAATGAGATAAATATAAGTAAAATGTTTTGTCATAAGTTTGTTCTCAAGAGGCGTGTCTAATAATAATAATAATAATAATAATAATAATAATAATAATAATAATAATAATAATAATAATAATACATTGGTAAACAAAAAAGATGCATATTTGCTGCATATATGCTTAGATAATAAATATCACATTTTTTTTTATCTTTTTTTAAATCCCCATTCTGTGGGCAGAATTTCTTGAATTAGTTTCTGTATGTCATCTGGTGAGAACTGACAAATAAATGACAGGAGAGCAGGGTGAACATGAATCCAGTGTCATTTATTAGACCAGATAGTTTATTTGAGGATACACCGTCTGTAGTCTCTTACATAAAAAACAGCATTTGTTCCAAACTCCCACAATGCTGTATCCAAATACATTCAGTTGTTCACACTGGACAAACATATTCAAGTGTCAACAATGTGGATTATGCACTTTTGGATTGAATAATCTGGTGGTGGCATTTTGAGTCTTTCTTTGTATGAAAAAGCCTCATCACATCATATTTGTATGATTTTGGGTATATATGTGTCAGTTGAGGACACAAAGACGAGTATAAAACCTTTAACACAATATTTACATATAAAGGATCTTTGCCCATTGTGAACTACGGCGTGTTTTCTGGGCACCCCTGTCTTTAGATTCCTGAGCTCACTGAGGACATAAAAATATTTATTTTTTAATTTCAGATTTTTCTACAAAATGCTTGAATGTATCCAGAGATAAGTGTAGTCTAAAGTCTTGCCATTTGCCTCTGAAATGGCTCATTTCATGTTTTTCCCTAGTGAGTCTCAAATCAAAGTCAAGTCCCAAGTCAAAGTAAAGTCCTAAGTCAAAGTTCTATTCTTTGTTGTACCTTACTGGCAATATAAACAAAACTCCACAGGTCAGACCCAAAGCTTTAGTAACAGTACAGAAAAAGGTTGATGTGTTGAGAATGCCGTGATTGGATTTGTCTTTTAACTGCAGTTCATCCATTGGTGGTTGAAAAAAGAGCGAATTAGTCTTCCTCTTTTGTAGTCAAACTCTGTCTGTGTGGATCCAGATGATAGATACAGGTGTCCTATATCATACACATGTTATTACACACCACAGGATACCACAACAGTACTACTGATATAAGAAATAACATAACATGAAGTACCTCTGTATTCAAAAGCCGCATCAACCTTGGACACACCATACTCTCTGTAAATGTATTTTGGGTAGCCTCGATCCATTCTGTTCCTGCGCTCATTATAGCTGGAAAAAACAAGAATAAGAAGATAGACATTTATATTGTTAAAGGTGCACTGTGTAGCTTTTCTGGTGGAGGTTCCGCCACCTGCTTGTCTCCATGGAGATTGTTTTGCCTGGAATGTCCTGGTATAATATTAAATGTATCCATTTTGCATTTACTCAACAACACAGGTTTTTATTGACTTAAAAACTTGCCTCTCCACTGATGTGATGTGCAATTTTGTAATTTGTGATTTCATTTGCTGTCTCCAAAGAGATAAAAAATAGTAATGTCATACTGTAGAACATCTGAGGCAATATCTCCATGGGCGGGATAGGGCCCATCACCTGTCTGTGCACATTTGACTGTTCACTTACCTCCAGTACCTATCGTTTACAAAAAAGAGAGTCTTGCTGGAGAAGCTCAAATGTACAGCAGCGTCCACTTTCCCGATGGATGAAGGCAGACCAAGGTTTCTCAGAGGTTTAGGGTATCCAGGCTGGACAGTGTGTCTTCTAATTTTCCAGTACATCTTGCCTGTAATTAAAATGGACAATTATATGGGTAAATGTAATTTACATTAATTAAACATTAAAGGTCCTATACCAGGTTTTTTCCATGTATTTGAGCAACATTTGACTTACCCCAGTATAGATATATCGAATAAGTCGCTCTTCTGGAGGGCAAAATAAGACTCCTGCGTGCAATTGGATTCTAATTATAATGCCTTTTATTGTTTGATAATCAGAAAGTGCACATTAGCATGCTAGTTCCTGTTAGCTTTACCATCATAGTAAAAGTCCTTCCCAGAAAGTTGTGAAAATGTTTTTATAAACTCATCATTGTGAATAATCAGGATACTCAAAATGCATAAGGTAAATGAAGAATAACTTTGGACCACCACACAATGTTAAAAATTATCAGTTTTTCTAAATGTTTTGTAACTTTTACCTTCAAAGACAATTATGGTGCTTTGTCTACCATTGCCATGCTCGTAGACAGCGTCAATCTTGTTAATTCCCGGCCAGAGAGTTTGGATTTTCCTCATCCTGATACCATCCCAGAATGACCTTCTTCTCCAGTAATAGCTGTTAAAAGAACTTGAGCACTGAGCAGTGGTTTATTTAAAGGTCCTATATTACGCAAAATTGACTCTTGTGAGCTTTAAGACATGTTATAGTGTTGTTACCACATCAAAAACATACCAGAAGGTGTGTTTTGTTTCATTCACACATGTTTGAGTAAACCTTACTATTAGTCTGTCTACATCTCCAAAGTTCAAAATGCTCTGTTCCACCCTGTGATGTCATGTGGTCCTTTTACCTTAGGTTCAGTAGAGATTAGCAATTCCCAACTGAATTCATATGATTCTAGTGAAGGTGTATGGAGTTTAAAAACACAGTGGAGCACCACCCTGTATTATCACATGACATCCCAAAGCGGAACAGAGTGTTTTCTGTTTGAGAGAAGAATTCAAGAATTTCTGTGAATGAAGCAAAACACAACTCATGATTGTGATGAGGAAACAACATTATAACATAAATTAGAAAAAAAAAAAAAAAAAGTTTAATATGGGCTCTTTAAAGTGCATATGACAGGTTTTCATGTTTTTCTAATTATTATTTGGTTTGAAGGGATAGTACCGGTAAATATACATCATCAGTTAAGTGGTAGTTTGCAGAAAAAAAATAGAAGGGAAGTACAAATGTATGGAAGTATCTAATGTTAATACCTCTACCTATTTCCAGTAACAATTTACACACAAGGAAGGCTTTTTTTCTGACAGTTTAAACCATAATTTCACATAATAAAGATGGAATTTACCTCTATGTATATCATGTCTACAACCAAGATGAGACATTATAAAATAAAAAATAGAAAAAAAACATAAAATTTGTAAAAAGTTGCACTGTGTAACTATTCTGGTAGAAAGAGTTTTTGCTGATAAAATACAACAGATATATATATTTTTAATGCCAAACTGCTGAACATCCTCGGCAAAGCAATGGCATCTCCATGGAGAAAAGTAGATGACGGATCCTCCGCCAGGAGAGTTACATAGTACACTTTTAAATATAATTGTGTTGTGGTGAAATGAGAAGTCTAAGCTGTCATATGCACTTGAACATGTAGCTTTTATACAGTGTGGTCTTACTTGTCTTTAAAGAAGTACAGAGTGTTGTGGATGGTTGTGGCAGCGTCCAAAACCAGGTCCGGACTGCACCTGTCTGGAGCAGCCTCTGGTGTGGGGCTGGGAGAAGGCTCGGGGTTTGGGTTGGGATTTACTGGTGGTTCAGGGGAGGTGCCTTTGATACCTCAAAACAAATAAGTGACAGCAACATGAGAGATAGATAGATACTTTATTGATTAATATATTATAATATACAGACAATAGTACAATAGTATAGATTCTGATAGATACTAAATGCAATTATAATGTTGATACTCAAATCGATTGTTACTCACCACTAAGGCTGGCAGTTTATCCAGTCTTAATCGAGATTTAGATTCATTCATGTCTAATTGTTGTATGTTTGGGTGATTTTAACAGAGACGTTCACAGCCAACTTTCAGTAAAAGCATGTGGTTTGGAGCAGAGTTTGAAGAAGAAATTTGTCATTTTCTTGTGTTAAATGGCACTGAATAAACATGTGTTTTGTTTATGTTCTTGACACTGGGGTGTTTCAAAATAAGTTTTATTTCTTCCAACTCCATTCTAAGCATTAATCTTTCATTTATATGAGTCAATGGTGGACTCATATTGTACTGCTTGTATTAATCTCTGCATCACCTTCTGTTTGCTCTGCTATATGACATAGCTCTTAATAAGGAAGAAAAATAATAAAATCAACATTTACAGCATTTTATTTTGTTTTGAAAAGAGAAAATAAAATTGTAAATCAACTTTGATCAGTATGAGAGGAAAAATAATCATGATTCTTTTACCATATAGCAGCTGTATGCCCTGCCTGTCGTCATCTGGTAGAGTGTAGCCCTCAGTGTTGACGTACTGATACGTGGGGAACATCAGGGCAGACTGATCCTGGGAGTGAGCCAGACCCAGAGCATGGCCAAACTCATGAGCAGCCACCAAAAACAGGTTGGCTCCTGCAGTCAGAGATCATTCATTCAAACAAACATGAGCTGATAGCATGAACCATAAACAACTAAGCAACTAACTGAAACAAGCAGATGTTATTCTTGAGCTGCCCAACGTTTGTGATGGAAGGTCCGCTACCTACTTGTCTCCATGGAGATGTTATTGCTTTGCCTGGAATGTTCCATGGTATGACATTAAACATACCCATCTAGCATTTATTCATTACGCATGTTTCTCTTGCTCAAAACATACATAAATTACTTGAATGGGGCGACTCTCCACAGATCTGAATTGTAATGTAGTATAATGCTGTAACCTGTAACTTTTGCTCAGTTGACAAATTTCTCCTTTGCTACACTGTGGAACATTCTCGACAAAGCAATAATATTTCCATGGAGACAAGCAGGAGACGGACACTCCACTACAAATGTTATCCAGTGCAATTTTAATCTTAATCTTAATCTATTTTTTATGTCTGCTAAAATGCCTCTTGCCCAGGTCTCTCGAAATAGAGACTGTATCTCAGGAACTTCTTAGTAAAATAAAAAAACAAAAAACAGCAAAAAGGCTAAACAGTAAAACCTGCAGAGGTCAAAGTCCAGGTTTCATCTGCATCAAAATGAGTGTCTCCTCCATGAGCTTCCCCCGGAGAGAAAGCATGAGCCAGTGTCCCATTGGGCCCATCAAAGGGGAAGAAGTCTCCATGAGCTGATGTGAAAGAAGCACAGCAGTGAAGCATGTCAAATGAACTTTAAATGTGTGAACACAGGAGACGTCTATTACATTTGGCCTGGAACAGGACCATGATGTCTGCTGTTCCTGAGCGGATCTGTCTGAACTGAAGAGGAGTCACATCACTGTAGAGCTTCAAAGCTTTGGCCAGAGCTCCATCCACCTCCTCCTGGGTCATGTGCGCTGTGTAGTCAGTCACCCTGAGGAGAAAGCACTTAAAAAAACCATTTCTCTTAACCTACAAATTAAGTGTAGGCTAAAATGTTGACATATATTGCCATATATAAGTATTGATAAGTATTGATATTGTGGGATGCTGTATTAACATATAACCATGAACCATACTTGGTACATTTTACCAAATTATTTTGTGATAGCACTACAGTTTTGTTTAGATTTGCTTAGAGAATGGTAGTGATTTAACTAAGGAACATTGTTAAAATGTGTTTAGTTCCTTTAAAAGTAGGGATATATCACAGAATATAATGTGCAATATATTATAGTATAATAGTATAGTATAGTATTAGTACATGGATACATAAACTGTATATATAAATGGGCGGAGCTAACCTGCCCCTGTGTTCCAAATATTAAGTGAGCATGGGGGAACTTCTGGCTCCATCGACTCCAATTGAAAAATTGTCACCCCCTCTCTCTGCAATCATCATTGTTGTCATAAAATGCTCATATTAATCTGCTTTACATGATCCTGGTGTTTTTATTTTGCAGTTTTGTTGAATAAGTTCCTATTCCTAATATGGAACTTGGCTCCAAATTTTCCCTTATAACTGCTAGCCTTGTGAACTTGAGACGAATGCTATGGGTGAAGTTACACTCCCTTAGAACAAAAAAAAATTAAAATTATATTGTATCATGAGCCATGAAACGTGTCGGATCATGAGGGACATTCTTAGTTGTATAAACAAAACAAAACCGATAATTGTATGAACAAAACAAAACTGATAATTATTGCGACAGTGATTAGATTTGCTATTTATGTTTCAAAAGTATTTGGGCATTGAAAAAGAAATATGCAATGAAATGTGCACAGTTCAATTAATACAATAATTCACTTTCATTTCAGAATGTGTTAGCAGACGTCTAAATGCCATACCACCAAAAGACATGATATCTCATTGTTTTGGGATTTCTATTACCAAAATAATTGCAGTCTTTCTAGTTCCGTTTGATACTGATGTTGTGTAGTTATTTCCTCGTACCTGTATGTGATGTCCTTCTTGTCCCACTTGGGCTGACCATCGAAGTAGCCATATCTGGCCACATCACTGACTCCACAGCGGCGCTGGGACATTATATCCAGGGTGGCGGAGTCCAGCTGACCTGTGACCTTTATCCCAAAGAATTCCTGCATTTTCTTTAAACTCTCCTCAAAAGAGTCCAGAGTGCTCCGGCTGACGCTGCCTGGAGCCCTCACCCCCACATCCGAGTAGAATGAGGACAGGTATTCCTACAGCAGTGCACAGGACTTTAGGATAACATATACACTTGGATATAAATTGCTTTAAAAGACCCATATTATGCTATTTTCTGATCTATATAATAATGTTGTTTCCTCATCACAAACAGGGAGTTGTGTTTTATTTTATTCACATACTTCTAACGCACAAACCCTGCAAATTTAGTCTTTAGTCCACCTTCTGATATTATGTGGTACTACAATAAGTGTTCCACTGCGTTTTTAAACTCCATACACTTTCACTAGAATTGTCTTGTAAACTACAGCTTCATAACCGCACAAGGTGGTGACGAATAATGCAAGATTTCTCAAATATGTGTGAATGAAACAAAACACAACTCCAGGTATGTTTTTGATGAGGTCACATCATTTTAACATCTGCAGGTCTCCACGGAGAAGTTACTGTGCTGCTTGAAATGTTCCATAGTATGCATTAAATTATTTCTCTTGCCTTCATCCATTTTTACTTACAGATGTTTTTACTACTTATAAATACCTTCAATTCTACTCTCCACAGATATGACCTATAACTTATCCTGATTTTGATGAAAAGACACATTTAATGCAATACAATGGAACAATCTTGGCAAAGCTGTAACAAAAAAATCAGATGGCCTCCATTAGAAAAGTTACACAGTGCCCCTTTAAAGAATAGCTTATTTCTTGTTCTACTTTTTGTTGAGTTTACCTGTGCTTTTGCAATCTTCTCCTCTGGCGGCGACTCAGTGGGTACAGCTCTGCAAAACGCCATCACCAACATCAAAAGTGATAATTTTAAACTAAGAATCACCATGGCTTCCTCTGTGCAGGTTCCCTCTGTGCTGTGCAGTAGCTGGGACCTATTTTGATTCCAGACACAAAATCCGATGTAAGCTCAAAAAATGAAGAAGTGATTGTGCAAGAAAGCATTCCGAAAAGTGTCTGGGCAGGTCTGTTTGAAACCACTTTAGATTGAGGGATACGGTCTGATGAGGGCTGACGGCAATTTAAAACGGGTCAAGGAACAAAAGTAATGATCAACATAAGTCTGAACAAGTTACAGGGAAAAACAAAACACAGTATACACAATTAATAATAAAGTACTTAAGTTTATTTGACATCTCTATAACAACATTCCTTTTTAGAATAACACAGTAAATCTGTATCGTAATTACATCTAATTAGTTGCAATAAAGCATGAAGACAGACTTTATTCATAATAACAAAAATGGTTTAAAGGATTCAGAGTAACTACTTCTAATTACTTAAAGGCACTATATTTTCTGATCTATGTTATAATGTTGTTTAGGCATCAAAAACATACCCGGAGTTGTGTTTTGTTTCATTCACACATATTTAACACAAAAATCCTCTATTCTACCTTGTGATGTCACATGGTATTACAGGAAGTGCTCCACCTTGTTTTTAAACTCCATAACCTTCACTAGAGCCATTTGGCCATAATTTCAGCTCTGGAATTGTCTCTACTGAATTAAATTAATTAAATGTTAAATTAATTAAATGTTAATTTGAAAACCACCATTACGTGACATCACAGGGTGGAAACTGTTGAGCTTTGGAGATATATTGAAAGACTTATGATAAAATATTACTCAAACATGTGTTAATGAAACAAAACATCTCCGGGTATGATTTTAATGAGAACAACATTCTAACATGACTTAAAGCTCCCAAGACTCAATTAAAATAATACCCAAACTCCTAACTCTGACCCCTTAGTTGCTAAGTCGGAATCTTTCTTAATAAACTATAGTTCATTATTAATAAAGTCTTCCTTCATGCTTTGTTGAGGCTAATTAAGGTGGAGTTATTATAAAGCAATACCAGTAGCAACCACAGTGATGACTGCTGACACACAAAGATACTTTCAAACATTTCATTTCATTTCAAACAGAACAAATTTTTATAAAAGACTCCTGACTCGCAGGGCCACAGGAAATATCATATAAAAAAATATGTATAAAAATATATGTATAAAAACATTCATATCATAAAGGTGCAGGAGGGTTCTACGCTTGCTTTTCTCCTCTGAATAGTTTCACAATAAAGATCTTTTCCCATGAAGAACAGCAGATGGCGCCAGTAAACCAAGCTAGATGCTAGAAATCAGCAGCGGAACATAAAGTAAAAGTAGTCAAATACTGTACTTACGTAAAAACATTAGGTATATGTATATTTTTAAGTGGATACTTTTACTTTACTACATTTGAGAGCAGGTATCTGTACTTTCTATTCCACTACATTTCTGAACAAGACTGAAAAGTAAACGTATTTTTTAACATATTTTTACTTTTATTTGAGTATTTTTTTTCCTCCAGTATTTGTACTTTTACTTACATACCAAGATTGAATGTTTCTTTCAGCAGCGCTAGATATATCAGTTTAATGTCACCAGGAAAGTAACATAGTGCACCTTTAGTCCAGTTTCCTGTTTAAGATTGGACACAGCGAAGGAAGTAGCTGTTTCGCAGCACACGGAACAGTCTGCCAGTTCTCAAGTTGTATTCAAGCATGTAGGGCCCACTGTAGATATATGTGAAACCTAGAAAATAAAATCACTGTTAGGATCAAACTGCTACTAGTTTTTTTTTTTTACATGCATGCCAGAATCAAAACTGATCATTATTTGATTTTTGGAGTTAAACAAATATTGAAAAGTCATGTAAAGTTACATCTGATTTCTTTGTGATGGTTCATGCCTGTGCCAGATTTGACAAAAGAGAATATAGAGAGAAAATGTTAAAGTTGGAAAGAGTTATTTAACTCCCTCCCAATACAATACTTTCCCTTCCAAATACAAATAAAAACTAGCTGTTAATTTGAAAACTACCACCTCATGACATCACAATGTTTTTGATGAGGTAACACCATTATAACATGGCTTAATGCACACAAGAGAGAATTTTGCATAATATAGGCCTTTTAACTAACAGTTCACAAGTGTTTTTGATTATCATATTTCTGTTGTAAATGTAAACATACACAAAAATCAGATCTGATAATTGGGATGTCTGATTATTCTAGTTGATTTTTATTGATGTACCCAGTGTTTTAAAATGATAGATATATTTTTAAACATTTTACCTTTGTACTGGAACGCTGCTGTCACTTTGTCAGACATGCCTGGGAATGACTCTTCCACTCTTTTGGGATATCCACCATCAACTTTTTGTTTACTTTCATCATAGCTTAAAAAAAGAAAAAAAAAAAAAAAAGAGAGACATGAGAGGATTATGTAAATCACTCTAAGCATAAAAACGTGTATTTGTAGTATAGCCTCTACCTCAAATAGTAATCGCCAACAAAGAACAGAGTCTTTCTGGTCTCCACATCAAAGAGCGCAGCATCTATACGCCTCACCCATTTGGGCAGACCCAGACTGCTCAGTCTCTTGGGGTAGCCCTGGACCGGGGTGTAGCCAGTGAAGGCCCACACACGACGACCTGAACACAAAAGGAGATAATGTAGTAAAGGAGCGCCATCTGCTGTATATAACAAAATATGCAAAGTGATGATAATATTTTAGAAGTCCAAATTTTTTCCCTCAATATACTGTGGCTATTTAATATATGAAAATCAGTTCTTTACTTGCTAAAGTTGTATTACAATGAAAAAAAAAAAAGATTTAATATTTTGTCATCAAATCCAGGTAAATTTTAATGGTGTGTTGTGTATCTTTTCTGGTGGAAGATCCATCAAATGCGTTTCTCCATGCAGATGTTATTGCTTTGTCTGGAATGTTTCACAGGACGACATTAAACATTTCTATCTTCATGGAGACCAAACCAGACCAAGTTGCAGGTCTAATCTGTGGAGAGGCGACCCTGCTCGTAGTCAGAATATCAGTTTTTCTAGGTATTTTTGAGTTATAAAACCACCTATAATTGAAGTAAATGTTTAAATGTCATACTGTGGAACATTTTAGGCAGAGCAATGACATATCCACAGAAACAACCAGGTAACAGACACCCAACCAAAAAGTTATATAGTGCAACTTTAAGTATAATTTGAACTTCTTTTTCTTTCTTTTTTTTTTTTTTTTTTTTTTTTAATATACATGCAAGTATCACGACATGGCTCTTCGTGGCTGTAGGTTCCTGTAATGTCCATTTTTTCATTTGAAATTGAGTAGTTATTAGTGCTTCTTATGGACTATTGGAAGGGCATCCGGTATAAATGGCAATAGCAATTTCATACCATTGAAGAAGTAGACCCGATCGGACAGTCTGCTTTCATAGGCAGCGTCCAGACTGGAGGGAGCACTGGGCCACATGCTGCTGATGAGGCTTTGCTGCTGTGTGTTCCTCTGAGGGCTGCTACGCCAGACGAAGCTGAAGAAACACAAATAAACAGTACATTAGAAACTGGGGCTACACGATTTCAAAAAAATATCTACTTGTGATTTTTTTCTGACAAACACTGAGATTAGAACTGTGATTTTTTTGATTGTGTCATAATAATAGGATTTTGTTCTGAATTCTCATTATAAACATGTCCAGAAGAACTGACAAAACAACTGAAATATAGCAAACTATGCAAGAATCACATTTCAGAAGATCTTTGTGCAAATTTAAACTACAGGATTTGCTGTTTTTATGCAGAATAAGCACAGACTTTATATAGAAGTGGACTGCCTTTAGGGTTCAGCTCCAGTCAAATGAAGCACTTATAAGGGTGAATTTGGAGCTGAGTTCCATATTAGGAATAGGGATTTATTTACCTACGAAATAAAAACAGCAGGATCAAGCGGGTTAATATGAACATTTTAAAACCAAAATGACGAGGCTCACTGCAGCAGTTACAGACAGAGGGGTGACCATTTTCCAATGTAAAGTCAAACAGAGAGGGAATCAATTGAGCCAAAAGTGCCCCCCATGCCCACTTCCTATTTGAAACACAGTGGCTTGTGGATTAGCTATGCCCATTTATATATACAGTCTATGAGAATAAGACAAGATACTTGTTGTTTGTTGAGGAAATTATGGTACTCCGAAAACTGCAGACATTGTGATTTGTGCCCATTCACTTTTCGATTAAATTGCAATTAATCTTGCAGCCCTAGGAACCAATACTATTATTTTTATACTTTACTCTTACGTGTCTTTGAAGAACAACATTTCTCCTCTCAGCGTTGTGACTGCATCCAAAACCATGGTGGAGTCACATGCATCGGGGGTGCTGGGAGGAGGGGGGACTCTCTCATCTGTTCCAGGATAAGTCTCAGTGTTTGGACCTATATCACAGAAAAACATAATATTGTAAACACTTTTTTCTCCTTCATTTTAATTTTTTCCAGATTCTCTGTAATCTTATTGAATTATGTTTGCATTTCAGATGACTGGGGTGGTTTGTGTTTTTTGGGTGTAATTTTTATTTATTTAATTTTATTTTTTTCAGATTAGCCAAGAATGGAGCCAATGACACCTGAAGATATGACATATGATATGATTTTTACAAGACTTAGAAGAATTGTGTGAACAATTTAAAATGTTTATATATGTTTGAAATTAAATTCAAGTTCAACACAAAACAAGTCAAATTAGTTTCTTCAAAGTTTGAACCCTGCTCTAAACCACACACTTTTATTAAGAGAGAGCAGAACATCTAAAATATCATTGACGATTACAAATGTCTTAATCTTGATTATTTTTTTTTAAAGTGCATAGCCTTAGTAAATAGTATTTCGAGATATTATACAGAATATTTGGACTACAAGCTGAGTTGTTACCATAGAGAGCCTGGATGCCCTTGACGTCATCACGGGGCAGTACATAGGTGTCTGGGTTTCTGTAGGAGTAGGTGGGGTACATGAGAGCGCCTGGGTCATCAGAATGGGACAGGCCCAGAGAGTGACCAAACTCATGAGCGGCCACCATAAACAAAACATAGCCTGGTACAAGATGGAAAAAATAAATATTATACTTTTTTCTATTTAAGTGCTAATGTCCAATTACTGCAATAGGAAACTAACCAGAATTTGAGCGATAAGTAAAGCGTTCGTCATCATCAAAATGTGCATCTCCTCCGATTCCAGTAGAAGGGGCAAAAGCGTGAGCCAGTGTGCCATGAGGGCCATCAAAGGGGTAGTAGTCTCCATGGGCTGTGAAACAAAGCATTGTTATCAAATATGCATTTCATTTAGATTGTCACCATATTTTGTCTGTATGGTCAGCAACAAGTATAATGTATTAATCTATCCAGACTTCAGATATGAATTAATTACCAGATTATGATACATCATGAATTCTTATACAAAAACGTAGATACATAAATTTCACAACATTTTTAGATTTTATATAAAATTCTAGTCAAAGTCTGACATACATTGTTTCTATTATACATAAAACTTTAGATCAATTGAAGGTGAGGTGGTGCAAAGATAATGAGAAGCAATGAAGTCTCTATTTTAAACAAATGAACTCATCACTGGTTTATTATTTAAATATATCTGTGTAAAAGGAAGATCTAACCAAGTAAAGATGATTTGAATTAAGAAAGTTTTATCATGATTTGAGCCAATTTCAATTGACAAGTAAAATTATCTGCCAGTGGAACACGACTTTTTGTACTTAAAATATGAAAATACATCTTGCTGCAATAAAAAATAAAATAAAATAAGAAAAAAAAAAACTTTCTGCACTTAAAATAGGAAACAAAATCAAATGTTGCTTGAATTAAGAAACACACACTTATTCTATTGGTAGATCATTTTACTTGTCAAGTTCACTCGACTCAAATAAAGTAAAATGTTCTTAATTTAAGTAACTTTAACTTACTTAATATTGTTTTTTTCCAGCATGTATTTAAAATGGTCTCAGTAAGTACAGTTATATTAGAGTTAGGCATGCTTCTGTTCACTAAACCTTGAGATAAAGTGCTGCATCAAACTATAAGTGAGATGTGAATGTCTTGTACTTTATCTCTAAAAACCACATGATCTGACATGCTCATGGTATGTTTGCATGAAGTGTTTATGCTCTATGGAGAAATATTATGCAACACCATCCTTAACAACAATCATCTTAATGTCAGAGATTTAAGGATGTATGTCACTCAGCTATGCACCCTCTCCCTCACACAAATGTCCAGATGGATAGGCAGGCTCAAACTTAACATAATAAGGTGTTTCTTGTCATATGACGCACTAGTGATAAGTGTTTACTGAAACTGTATTCAACCAAAGAAATTATTCATTGTCTAAAGAACTGCCCTATGCATTGATTAATCAACCAAAATGTACTGATGCGTTGTACTGACAAAACATTGTACGCATGGGTCCATAAATTATAGATAGACGAGGCCAAACTTGGCTTATATGATGTTTTTTGTTATCTGATGCACAAATGATTCTTGGTAGTGCTTACTGAAACTGTAGTCAACCAAAGAAATGTTTTTTTTTCATTGAATAAAGACATGCTCTGTCGATATTGATTAATAGACCAAATAAGGAGCGACGCTTGCCTGCAAGAGCTCTCAAAACTATGAAGTAGCTATTTGAACTAAACTGCAGTCACAGGATCACAATATTACAGGTAATTTAAGGTGCACTATGTCACTTTTTGGTTGGAGTCCAGCAATGGCTTGTTTCTATGGATATGTCATTGTATCATCCATAGTATGACAATAAACAGCTCTGCCTTATTTTTACAATTCTAAGTGGTTTTAGTGCTCAAAAGTTCAAAAAGAAAACAGGCATTCTGACTGTGAGAAAGGTTGCCTCTCCACAGATCTGACCTGTAACTTGGTCTGGATTGGTCTCCCATGAAGATAGAAACTGTTCATTCCAGACAAAGCCTTAACATCTCCATAGTGAAAAGCATTTGACATAAAAGTTACACAATGTAGCTTTAAAAATACACTAATAAACAGTGTATTTATTTGTAGAAAGGCTATTTGAACTCATAATTCATTCCCAAATCTGACTTACTTACTCCAGGTATTTGTTTCCTGATCTGATCCATATAAATTCATATTATCTCAATAAAATAACAGTTGAATAGTAAAGTTTTTGGTTACCTATAACCACCATCAACCGATGAATGACTACAGGGAAACAGCTCTAGTGCTTACAGTAGCGTCCAAAGGAGATCATGATGTCTGCAGTTCCGCTGTAGAGCCGGGTGAACCTCAGGGGAGTGACTTTGGCCCAGACTTGAAGAGCTTTTTCAATGGAACTGTCCACCTCCGACCTCGACATGTCAGGAGTGTAGTTCTCAATCCTGTAACACAGACGTAGTTTTTACATATTAACATATTACTTGAGATTGATTCATGCTTGTTTGAATTGTCCTACATTCAAGACTTGCTACACATTAAATTATGAGTAAGAGTAAAAAAGTATTTGAGAAAACTACGACTTACCAACTTTCAAAGCAACTGTCAGGACATAAAATCTCATTTATAGTTTGAATTGAATGTACTTTGAAAGACAAAACATTAAAGTTGTGCAATGGAAAACTAAATATTGTGCTTTGTTTATGTTTAGAGTCATTCTAAGATCTTTCAGATTTCTCTCCCTTGAAATGTACCACACCTTGTTTGATTGTTTTATATTTCACATGTTAATCATGGGGCCAAAGTACAACATGTCCACTTTGGAATGTGTGCAGGAGATGTTACTGCTCTGCCAGGAATGTTCCACAGTATGACAAACGTCTCTACCTTACATTTATTAAATCACAGGTTTTATACTCAGAAATACCTAGAAAAACAGACATTCTGACTGGGAGTGGGGTTGCCTTTCCACAGATCTGACCATACAGTAACATATCCATGGCCCATGTAGACAAGCATTTGATGGACCCTCAACCAGAAAAGCTACACAATGTATCTTTACTGTAAATAGAGCACAAAATCTGGTTACCTTCAGGTTCGGATTACTTTATTTATACTGGTACAATTGGTTGGAAGATGGCTACTTCACAAGAAATAAGAAAGTGCCTAACAGTGCTGATCAAAAATGACACAAAACTATAAAAAATACTAACATTATCTTGTAAATTAGAGCATTTTTACACTTCCATACTCCCCACATCCTCATCTGACCCGTACCTGTAGGTGAGGCTGTTCTTCTTCCATTTCAGATCTCTTCCAAACGTGGAATATCGGGCGATGTTCCCGTCTGGCACCCCACAGCGAGGCTTCTTCATCAGGGCCATGGTCTCGTTGTCCAGGGTCCCGGTAATGTGGAGTCCAAAGAAACGCTGCATCTCACTCAGTTTTTTAGTGATGGGATTGAAGCCACGGCGAACTATACCCGGCTCCTCTGTCAAGTTGAAGAACTTTTTCAAGTAGTTCTGAAATATAAATGTTAAAGGTGCATTATGGAACTTTCCTGGGAGAGGATCTGTACTCTAGTCTTCCTGGAAATGGTATTGCTTTGCTTTGATCTTTCAGCCTTAAACTTTTGCCAAGAATACACACATTCCTTCAATACTGTGTTACTTTACTGATGGAGGGTTCGTTAAATTATTTTTTCAGTGGAGATGTTATTGCTTTGTCTGGAATGTTACACAGTATGGTATTAAACATTTCTATCACCATGAAGACAAAATCAGACCAAGTTACAGGTCTGTGGAGTGACAACCCCACTCGCTGTCAGAATTGTAGGTATTTTTGAGCTATAAAACCACGTGTAATTCAGTAAATGTAAGATAGAGCCATTTTAATGTCATACTGTGGGATATTCTAGCAGAGCATTGAGACATCCATAGACACAAGCAGATGACGGATCCCCAACCAAAAAGTTACATTATGCACTTTAAAAAGGTGTGATTGACAGGTGGATTAGCCATCAGCAACTCATGGTCCATCCATTTCAAATCAAATATGGCTGATACAAGAAAAAAGAAAGTAAAATACATATATCACAGCACACTGAAAAACATAATTGAAGCTCTAAATTTTGTTGAAAATGGTGATCAATGAGCTGATTGGACGGCTGTGTCTGAATCTGGCTGGAGACTCTGTAGAAAAATACATACAGAGAGATATGTGTCTGGGCTTTAGTTTCTCAGTTTATTCTTAAGCGATATTAAAAATACCTATAATTGCATAAAGAAGGATTCCTATAGCAGGCAGGCAGCAAAACCCCATCCAGAAAAGTAAAATTGGGCACCTAATCATTAACTTTTTGCTCAATACAAAAAAGATTTTGAAATTTAAAAGTTTCATTATATTAAGTCTGTACTGTCTCTACAGGTTCATTTGATGGAAATAATCTTGACCAAATAATAGCGTTTGTAATTTTTTACCATAATCAAGCAGCCTAACAGTCATGCATTGTAATTATTCATTTGGAAATCAACAATGCAACATACCTCTGCAAAATATTCATCTTGAAGTGTGATCTCTGGGGCAGGAGCCGAGCTGACAGTGACTCCAAGAGTCAGTAGAATAAACGCAGTGATAGAAGTCTTCATTGTGTTTCAGAGGAATGTACTGTAGCGGGACTGAAAGATCCATTATATAGGCTAACCTGACGATGCTGTAGGAGTGGGAGGCATCAGGGAAGTTCCAAACATGGATTGCTCAACTTCCATAAATGGAAAATGTTATCGTTTAGCTTTTATTTATACAGTGACTTGTATATTCCTAAAAATACATCATTTGATATTAAAAAAAAAAAAAGTTTCTTTATTATCCAAAAATGTTGTCAAGATCAGTAATCCTATTTAAGGCAATAAGCTTTAGTATAAAGTACAGTATTAGTGTAACAGCAGCTTTGTTTGAATTAATGTAGACTGCAAAATGATATTGTTCTAAATAATTGTCAGAAACAATTGTAACTTTAATTGCTGACACTGTTACTCTTATTAAAATTGAGAAAATAATGCTGCTCACCAATTCATTGTATTAAATCTTAGGTGGCTAGTGAGAATGAAACGTGATGAACTAACTTTTATAAATATTATTTTAAAGGAAAAAAAGCCTACAGTTGACACACAAACTGAATAAATAAAAAATTCTTAACATACTTACAACAAATGAACAACTTAATTTGGCCAATCCTAAAACAAACAGGATGGGCTATAGCTCCTACACCTAATTTCACTCTCTTTATTTTAAATTCATACATATAAAACATCCATTAATTCCCCACACAGACAACTTTTGGCCAAGCTCAGTCATGTTGTAATATTCTCAACATGACGCTGATAGTGTCCCTGCATTATTCACCAGATATTGCACAAATGGTGGTCAGTCACATCTATTATTAGTTCCATTAGCTTATATGTTGCCTAACCTATCTGTATGTGTAGCAGTCTTCAAAAACAAAGCTGTTCCAGTCAGGGGATAAATGTCACTTAAGAATGTGCCCTACGCACATTCATGACATGTATCTCTTGACTGGATGAGTTGATGTACTTGTATATCAGTGTGGAAAAATATGACAACGTATATGAACAGTGATGGAAGAAGTACTCAATTTTGTAACTTAAAAATAATCAAGTAAAAGTAAAATATCACATAAAAAATTCACGCAACTAAAAGTTCAAGTACCCCTTTACTTTTGGAATAAAACAAACAACTGTACCCGTCTTAAAATTTACATTTTAGATAGAGAATAATTTCACAGATTTTGATTTACAATGCAAAATTGGCTCCTGTGAGCTTTTAACCTTGTTATAATGCTGTCATCTTATCATAAACATGGACTGGAGTTGTGTTTTGTTTCATTCACATATGTTTGAATAGTCCTTTTTTATTAGTCTGTTTATATTGTATTGTACCTGTGTGTCTTAAAGCTCCACTCCGGTGCTTCGGGTGAAAGTTCCGCTTCTTTCTCTGCCTCATGTCTTTTCGCTGCTTTTTCTGCAGACAAAGAGCCCGGGCTCACAGACATTTATTCACTGAGCTCTTATGAGACAAAAGCACAAACCTCAACTTAAAAAAAAGCACATTAAAAAGCTAAAATATTATTATCTGAAAAGCACAGCACGTTTAACAAATGACATGACAGAAAAACCTGAAAACAAGACAGGCTACCATAGCAACAGGGTCTGGGTCAGCTGACAACAAGGAACCACACTGCAGCAGACACTGTGGGCAAGGTGGGTTAAGTGTCTTGCCCAAGGACACGCATTCATCTGTGGGAGCTTGAATCACACCAGCCAACCTGTGGGTCAGTGGATCTGATGTCTATGTTGAGAGCGGGATTCAAACCGCCAACCTTCAGATCAGTGGGCGAATGCTCTACCAACTGAGCTAGTGCCGCCCACAGGTGGGTGGGACAGGTTTATGACTTTCAGAGGGGAAAAAACAAACAAACAAAAAACTAATAAATAGCATATCCCATAAAACAATCAAGTGGGCCTTCATTCTGTCGTTTTCAACTTATTGGCAATTTAAATTTATCGGAAATTTCAATAAATCACCAATTTGGTCACAGGAAAGCAATGTATTTTGTAACCGCTTGTTCTGTGTCTGAATATTGTGAATCCGGTTCTTGTACTTCTTCTCCGGCAGATGGCGCCACTGCTCTGGGCAATGCGGGGTACTTGGTTCTTAGGTACTTGGTACTTGGTCCTCTGCAAAACTGTCAAAAGTAAAACATTTACAAGTATAGCACAGCCGTCAGATTTACACATTTTATTCAACATTTTAATATTTACAGATTTACAGAATAGTTTACAGATGTACTTTTTGTTCTAGCAGCAAGAGGCATTTTGGTAATGATTAAATCAAACCTATAAATATTACTTTAAAGCTACAAGATAAAAGACAGATTGAAGTTGGTACAGTCAATATATCAAAGTGCATATGGCATGTTAGAAATCTTCATAAATATAAATGCTAATTTTATTTTCTGGTTGAACAGCAGATACAGAGTAAATTTCATAACTTTTATCTAGCAACCATACTGTGAAAAAGTGGTGTGTCTAAAATTCCACAATAGTTCAATTATCCCTGCATTTGAAAGTTTTGATAACAGACATATTCCTTTTTAGAACCACTAAGTCCTTTATTTTTGTGCTTTTCTTTTCAACTTTTGTCCAGACACTAACACAAAACTGATGTAAAACTATGATAAATATTCACCACAAGTAAATATTACCAAACCAAATGAAAATAATTAGAAAAACCTGCCATACACACTTTAAGAATTGGCTAAAACAGGCAGGTTTTACACCGAGGCAACCCTCTCCATTTATCCAGGCTGGAAACTGGCACAGAGGGACACACACATCTCCCTCTGTGGCTGGATTAGACCCACTGCCCGTGCTTGTACAGTTGGTGCAACAGCACCAACAGTTTATTGTACAATATATACAATTTATTATTTAAATCAGCAACTGTAGAGTTTTGAGTCCTCACAGAGGACACTGAGCACGGAGCATCTTCAGCCTGAAATAACAGAAAGAAAAAGTTATTTCACATCAGACTGAGCAGAGGAGTGTGCACTGACCCTTAAAATGTAGAGACATTAACCATCTATGCATGTACAGTTACAGTTTTAAGTACATATTAGACAATTACCATCTCTCCATACATTAAAGTAACATCACACTCAAAGACACAAGTTCAGTTTTCATGGGTGAAGGGTGTAAATGTGTATTGTTAAAGTGCATAGGCTGTGTATTGTGGTTGGATAAATGATAAATTAAAAAAATGGACCTTGAAACTAGTACAAGTGCATTCAACATTCATTTCTTCCTGTTCCCATCAGAGAGTGGGAAATTCAGCATATTAAAGAAGACATATTGTGTTTTTTTTTTTTTTTTGGTATTTAGTTACATTATGTATGCAAAGTAAACCACAGTATTGTTCTAAAACAGTTTCATAATAGAAACTGGTCCATTGTCAGTGTAGTGGTATTTCATCATAGCAAACAGCCATTATAGCTAACATTATAAACAGCTAAATGAAAATCTAAGTATGAACCTGGAGTCTGAACATTTGCAAAGATAGATATAAAGGAGGAAGATAAAAACACAAATGCAGAACAAAGCAGGTGAACTCAGAAATGCATGAATCACTTGGACTAGAGCAGAGGTCTTCAACAGGAGGTTGTGGAGGTACTGCAGGGGGGTCGCAAAGTCTTTGGCTGATGTGACATTATTATTATTATTATTATTTTTTATTTATTTATTTAATATTTCTTCATTTTTGAAGGATAAGGATGAACTGTTTTTCTGTGGTTTCTGGCTGATCGCTCCTTCATCATGTCTGTCCCTCTCTCTTCATTCCCTCATTGCAATAACAAACTAAAAAAATTCGGATCAGTCTACTCAGCAATAATAAAACTCAACCCAGAGGGAGAGAATTTTATTGGAATATACAATTTCAAGTTATTCAGTGGTATAAAACCTGGACAATCTCTTTTCAGTACCCTTTTCAGTACCCATCAATAAAATATGAGAACTCCACTTTAAAGTCTTACATACATTTTACCCTACAAACGTATTTTTATCCAGGTTTCTCCAAACTGACCCAATTTGCAACCTGTCTGTCACACCCCAAAAACATGATTCATTTATTTTTCTCATGCCCCGTTAGCTCTATACTACCCTCTGGAAACAACTAGAATTTTTTTCTCTCCCAGAACTTACACGTTCCAATAACCCTGAAAGAAGAAAATATCATTACGCATTATACACATCAAAACTCAAACATTTAAAAACTAATTAATTTATTTATTCTTCTTGGCAAATACCACATACATAGAGCAAAATTCTCAAAAACAAAACCTTATCTTGCATTACTACTAACAGAAATAAATCATTATTTTCAACTGATACAACATTTATCCTGCAAAAAGGCCACCTCAATAACCAATGTATACAAAGACTTCATTCACAGTTAGGTGTTGTCCACCCCCTTGGGTCCTCTACCAGAGGTCAGGGAGCCTATGAGTTATGCGCAGTATCTTTGCTGTTTCTAGTACTGCACTTTTCTGGACTAAGATGTCCATTGTTTTCACGGTATCTGCTGTAGCCACTCTTTCAGTTTAGGAGTTACAGCCCGAGTGCTCCGATCACCACGGGCACCACTGATGCCTTCACTTTCCAGGCTTTCTCCAGCTCCTCCTTGAGCCCCTGGTATTTTTCTACTTTCTCGTGTTCCTTTTTCCTGATATTATCCTCTCTTGGTGTTGCGATGTCCACCACCACCGCTCTGTTCTGTTGCTTATCCACCACCACTATGTTTGGTTGGTTCGCCATCACCATCCTGTCAGTCTGTATCTGGAAGTCACACAGGATCTTATCTTGGTTCTCCACAACCTTTGCAGATGTTTCTGTACACTACGCCCTGTGCAATAAATGTTTGCAGATACCATGACAATGTGCAAAAATAGATCTTGTGGTCACGAATTATTAGGTCAATTGAGCCACAAACGTGAGTTGCATCACCAGCTGAACTTAACACATTTTGCTCCACCACACAAATCATGTCACATTATCAGACACTGACTGTAAATTAGCAATAGCATTTAATCGCCCTTTAAACTGTTAGTCATCAGGATGAGGTGTTCTGTTTTTCATTACATACATATGGGTGTAGGCTAGGTTATGTTTATTTTTTTTATTCTTTATTCTGACCAAGTTGAGTAGAAACAGATTTCTTGCGTCTAAAATGTATTATTTTTTTTATGTTTAACCAACTCAAATAAACTCTCCTGTAAATTTTCTAACTAGACAAACAATAGTGTAGTAGGTTGAATCTACGTTACTGTAGCTGTATATACATATTGTATAAGTGTTACTAAGTATAAGTTACATTCTATAAGAAAAGAAGGCACCCAGAGAGTGAGCCCCGTTCTGTTCCGCGTCAGTGCCGCTTACTTACATCACTACTACAGCTGACAAGTTCGACCCGAGATCCGCCCAGCTCCGTTCAGCGTCTACGCGGACTGTGGCGCACTCTTATGGATACACTCTCGGCATTTGGTCCAGGGACTTCCCCTGGGCTCCTTGAGGAGCTTGGTCCTCCGCTCGTCTTCTGCATGCTCGAATGAACGGAGGAAGAGCCGAAGTAAATATGTGATGAAAAAGTGCTGGACGTGCTCGGTCACGGTGCCGTGCACAGACATTTGAGTGAACTGCTGTCATGATGCGCGCGAGATAAAGAATAAAAGACTGTTAAGAATGGTGATCACCACGTTATATTTTGTACGGGCTGTTCCCCGGCATGCATTGCTCGTGTGCCCTGGTTTTGATTTTCTTGTCTTTTTTTTTTTTTTCATTGGAGTAGTAGAAGTAAATACATGCTCGCTGGTCAAATGTTACATGCAATGGGAGATGGCGATTAAAGTGTGTATGTAAATGAATGTGTAAAAGTTTTAATACACCATGACTGAAGTGTTCTTTTTCAGAGCAGTTCTATTTGATGTGCTCACATGAGGTGGAGGTGGACACGAGCTCCAGAACCCAATTCAGACTACTCTCCGCTCACTTTTTTCCTCAGGTAAATAACCTAATATTTGTACATAGGTTAACCAGTGAAAGCAAGTTAAAGCATAACAGACTTAGTATTTTGTTGTGAACAAACACAAGTGACATTCAACTTGAATTCAGGTTGTCTTTCCAAGTCCCACCAGATTAAACCAGGTCTATAACAAGGCTATTTCAGTTACAAATTAGGGCTAAACCAGGTCTAAATAGGACAGTATCATTGCTACATACATACATACATACATACATACATACAATAATTATAATATTAAGGGTGTGATAGACAAAACAAAACATGGCTGCTTTACAGTGAAAAATTATTTTATTTTCAATTACAGCAAAGATAACTCATGTGACAACAGTTCCAAACAGTCTTCAAAAAACGTTGTTTAAATTATAGATAAATAATAGTAGAAAAGACAAGAAATGACTTAAATATATATCACATATACGCTGTTAAGGTGCTTCAGGTAAACAACAGTATTAGTATCTGTTGATCAGTGCAAACACAGTAATACTGTTAATTCACATCATGGTTGGGGGTTCTAATAGTTGTTGCATGGCAGGAAGTAGTTATTCCCGAGCATTCTGAACAGATGTCCACTCCTCAGACTGTACTCCAGCATGTAGGGCCCACTGTAGATGTATGTGAAACCTGCAACACCACAAGCACTCTTAGTCCACTATAATCAATACACTTTCACAAACTGCAAAACTGCTGTTCAAAAAAGTGAATAAATACAAGTAGAAACACTTTTTGCAACTAGAATGTATATACATAAATTATTAAATCTTATATCTTAATATATTTAATTTAAAGAATTTTACATACTATGATCCTATCTCTACCCCATATCATCAATTTCATTTATTATTGTCACTATTGTTGTCCGCTAAAATACAGCAACATGTAATTTTCTGGAGTTGGCAAGTCACCTGCATGATTTCATGGAATTTGTAAATTAAAACCATACTTTGGAATACATTTCGAAAGTGTGTTTATCAGTTTCAACTTGTATTCAGTTTGTGTTGTGTAGTTGTGTTGCTGAACCTCTGATGTTGCCAGTGTTTGAATGTACTCACCTCTGTACTGGAAGGCTGCAGTGACTTTGGTGGTTAGACCGGAGAACTTCTGATCCACATTTTTAGGATATCCCTGGTCCATTCTTTTACTGACCTCATCATAACTGCAAATAATAAATAAATGAATGAGAATTAGCACCTCCTGTATGGAATGGTGGCATTTAGGCCAAAATAACAAATCTTGATTTCTGATTCTTTTCAAAAACATAATATGAATAGCTTTTAGTTCTGATTTATTGAACAAGACTTTTGATGTGTGACATTTAAGACAAAAAAATTTTATTCCCTCAAAGTCACAATTTTCTTCTCGATTGAAAAGATTATTAACAGTTAGACATGACTGAATCTCGAATCTCTAAATAATAAAAATGATGATTTGCATATCCCTAATTTAATCTTGGACCAACCATAATTCTCACCTGTAAAACTGATCGCCAACAAAGAACAGTGTCTTGCGGGTGTCCACGTCGTACAGGGCAGCATCTATTTTCTTCACTGTTTTGGGAAAGCCATAGCTGGAGATGGATTTTGGGTAACCTGGCTGAAGATCATAAGCGTTGAAGGCCCAGACCTGGCGATCTGTTTAAATATAGAGGAGTTATATTTAGTAAAAGCTCTCTGGTAAAAACAACGTATGAAGATGTGATGATGGTCAGTGCTCCAAATAAAATAAAATATCAGGTTGACATAGATAGACTAACCTTTGAAGAGGTACATCCGGTCTGTTTCTTGGCTCTCATAGGCAGCGTCCACAGTGGAGGGAGCATCAGGCCAAAAGTTGTTGATGAGAGACTGCTGAAGCTGGTAACTCTGAGGGTAGCTACGCCAGAAGAACCTATAACACAGAACAGAGCACAGATTTGTATTATTAGATAAAATGGTATTATATGGTGGCGATAAGCAGATTTCTCCAAACCAGAAAAAATTTCAATCAATGGGACATAATAATTGTATAGAATCACTTTGGCATGCTATAACAAAATGGTACCTGTCTTTAAAGAAGAGCATTTCTCCTCTGAGGGTGGCCACAGCGTCCAAGACCAGTGAGGAGTCACATGAGTCGGGGGTGGTGGGGGGCAGGGGGCCTGGGCCTGGAGCAGGGTCTTTGTCTGGGTTTGGTCCTATGATGGAAATAAAATTTGAGTCAGGGTTCAAAATGGACAAATAGAAGCACCGTATCGTTTAAAATGAGAGGTGTTGTGAAGTGTTCATGAGTTTAAAGTCATATTCACGTCTTACCGTAGAGAGACTGGATGCCGTTAACGTCATCACGGGGCAGAACATAGGTCTCTGGGTTTCTGTAGGAGTAGGTGGGGAACATGAGAGCGCCTGGGTCGTTAGAATGGGACAGGCCCAGAGAGTGACCAAACTCATGGGCAGCCACCATAAACAGAACATATCCTGGAACAAGATGGAGATAAATTAGCATATTGCCATAGAAATCTCTTTACTAAGCAAGAAGCTGAAAGCCATGAATATAGCTAACATAAGATAAGCTTAAGTAAACTAACCAGAATTTGAACGATAGGTGAAGTTCTCGTCTTCGTCAAAATGTGCATCTCCTCCGATTCCAGAAGAAGGGGCAAAAGCATGGGCCAGGGTGCCATCAGGGCCATCAAAAGGGTAGTAGTCTCCATGGGCTGTTGGTGATTGGAAAATATAGTTAGAATCAATTACTACAACTACTGGCATTACTACAAACTATCATCTAGAGTTGGAAAAGTAACTAATCAGATTTAAAATCAGGAGTTACTAAGTACAGTTTCAGTCATTCCAATCTCGCTCACTGATTTAAAACAACCAATTATTCATCTTTAAGATGTTTAATTAATCAAGTTTTGTATTAAAGACTAAACTATTTACTGAACTAAATACTGCAAAAATTATAGTTTGTTTCAAGCCAATTTGGCAGCATAGTGACTTTTTCAGTTCTCTTCCCCCCACTACTTGTTATTCTGACTACTTACAGCCGCGTCCAAAGGAGATCATGATGTCTGCAATTCCACTGTAGATCCGGGTGAACCTCAGGGGAGTGACTTTGGCCCAGAGTTGTAGAGCTTTTTCAATGGAATCATCAACCTCTGCTTTGGTCATGTCTGGAGTGTAGTTCTCAATTCTAATTCAAGCAAAAATGGTCAATAAAAACATGCTTCCTAGGCTGTGATCACATGACAATATTATATTCCATCTCCATCTGAAATTATCATACAATTCTGACATGAACCTATTGGACTTGGAGTAGTGTGGAGATATGCCTACCTGTATGTAAGAGCGTTTTTCTGCCATTTCAGATTTTCTCCAAAAATGGAAAATCTTGCCACTTTCTCATCGGGCACACCACAGCGAGGCTTCTTCATCATGGCCATAGTTTCTTCATCGAGGTTCCCGGTGATCTTGAGTCCGAAAAACTTCTGCATCTCCCTCAGCTTTCTGGTGACAGGGCTGATGGCTCGTCTGGAGACTGGACCCGTTTCTTCTGTGAGGTTGTAGAACTTCTTGAGATAATCCTATGAAAAGCATGGTGGATATTCAATAGTGCATAGCATATAAAGAATAAGAAAATAGCAACATTAAAACATCAGAACAGTTTAAGGCCAAAATGACGAGCCTGATAGCAGACGTTAAAGAGAGAGGAGTGGCCTATAAACACTTACAGTCTACTAACCACATCCAAACATGCTCAGCTTCCACTATCAGTTTCCAATAATCAGACTCACATAAATACAACAGAGGTACATACCAGTGCAAAGTCCTGTTCCTGCAGGGTTATAGTGGACAGTGGCATACAGTAAACTGCAGAGGCCAGGCTCAGTAGCAATAGACTCAACTTCATTGTCTTCATGTTTGCGTTTTGGTTTTGTTTTGGTTTGTGCTCTGGGTCCTGCTCTTTTATAGCCCAGGTACCAAGGCGTTGGGCAACTCCACCGTCACTCACTGAGGAAACACTCCTTTTATGGAAGCAGGAGGAAGTACTGTCTGCTTTGCTCAATTAAAAGAATTCCCAAACAGATATAGTAAAAAGTATGACAACTCAATGAGTGTACAATTCATTAATAATGTCCAGAATGTCAATTAAATTATTTCTGTGAATTAGTTTGAATCTTTTTGCTTTTTAGGTTTAAACATAAAATTACCAACTTAAAGCGTATGTTTAAAAGAGTATACTGTAAAATATGTTGTTTATATATGTATAGTTATTGCAGTAACAATCTGAACATCATTACAGTAATCAATCATCACTTTAAAGTACTGTAAACCTTTTCACATACAATAGTGAGTTATCTGTAGTTATCTATAGTTCTTCTAAAAATGAATTTGCTTCCTAGCAGTATTAAAAGTGATTAAAGCTTTTACACATACTTATGGATCAAGAAAATAAATTCCTTTGGCTAAAATATCTATTTAAATGCATGTTGTGTGTATTATCAAGAAGACAGAATACAAGTTTTCATTCACCAGCACAGTATGTGTTTTTGGAAAGGTGCCACTGCTGCAAACACAGACACGTTTGGTCACGTCAGATGATTGTAGTATTCCATAGCCACATCAAAAAGATTAATAAATTATAGCTATATTCCCGGACTAGCCATGTCATAGATCCTAATCACTTATAACTATGAATCACAAAATCCATTTTATACCCCTTCTCCATTCAGACAAGTCACAAATGTCAATCATCTTTTATAGTATATTAAATAATTACAGTAGCTCTGTAAAATCACCCTGATAAGTAGGTTATTTTCCACTTGGATATGTCAGTAAAATGCCACTACACTTTTGCGTTAGTGTTTTGTGGAAACCTATAATTTGGGTTTGATGTTGCCTAAGAGTGGACATCTTTCTTGGGTCATGATTTAGTCAAGTAACCTCCCCTTCCAAGTACTGTAACTGTATCAATACAAAACTATAGAAAATCAACGTAACATCACATAATGACAAAAAAGAGATTAAATCATACTTTAAGGTGCACTACAACTTTTAATTTCATGGGGATGTCAGTCCTTTACTTTGAGTGTTCCACAGTAAGGCATTAACCATATACAGTATATATCTTGCATTTATTCAATTACAGGTGGTTTTAGTGCTCAGAAATACCTTCAAAAACATACATGTAAAATATACATATAGTCTAATACATCAAATTGAGCAGACTCAACTCTCCAAAGATTTGACTTGTAACTTGGCTTGGGCATATTTTTTGGCTTGTCTCCATGGAGATTTAAATGCTTGTGGGACATTCCAGGCAATGCAATAACATCTTCAAATTGGTAGGATTCCTCCACCGGAAAAGTTAAGTCTTTACTAAGATACATTACATTAAAACGATTGTGAGAAACTAATACAAAATATATACAGTTACAAAACAACAATGACAATAAACAGGAAATACCCGCATCGCATCCTCTTTTTCATCTAACTGCAATTTATAAAGATGTTGTGGTAAATTTAATTAATACTGTGTCACATACTGGTCAGGGAGGATTTCATTGTCTGTCGTCTTTGTACACTCCAGTATTGTGTTGACTGAGCCGGTAGAGATCACTTTTTTGGAGTCAGGGTCGTAAGTGTAATGCAGGTTTCCCTTGAAAAAGTGAATAAAGTCTGTGGGAAAATGAAATAGCATTAGGTTTTCTGTAAAAATGGGAAAAAATATGTTTTGGTTAAAAGAAAACTATAAAGCTATACTGTATAAAATGAACATACTCCCATTTGCTGATACACTTTGCCATATATACTGCCCTACGTTATTGCTAATACAAATTATTGTTCAGTTACTCTAATGAAAAGGCTGCTATTAATTTAATCTCACAATATTATGCCAATAACATAAAGGCCTACGCACTGCATCCTCAAGGCTTTAATCAAATAAAATTAAAAAATCTAAATCAAAAGTAATGCACACATCATTTTAGATATAAAAGACTGCAGTGGCAGCTTAGGTTCTAAATGTCAGTGTGCGGTTCATATGGATGGATGATCTTAGATGATATAAAATGATTAGTTTAAAGAAATTAGTGTTTGTACCATCAGAGTAAACTGCAGCATCAATTGGAGTTGGAATCCCGGGGTATTCCTGCTCTATGAGTGATGGTGGGTGCTCCAGTGTATTTGTCAGCTCATTGTATCTGGACAAAGAAAAGAAACCAAATTTATATGCAACAGGTTGTGTTCATGTTCTGATAATGTATATCACACTGTAAAAGGTAATATCTAGGTAAGTTTAAATGACTTAAATGTAGAGAATTTGACTTTATTTGAGCGGATTCAACTTGACAAGTACAATGATCTACCAATGGTATAAGTGTATTTTTCTTAATTCAAGCAACATTAGATTTTGTTTCTCATTTTGAGTGCAAAAAGTTGTTGAACCCAGGAATACAACTCATGAGATATTTACAATTTATAAAAGAAATATAAAAATATATCATTCAATAATGTCAAAATCTACCAGTGTTGTTTCTGCTAAGCCCTGATGAAGACCAGTTTGGTCAAAACATGTTGGCTTTGGCCATTTAAATAAAGGCCTTTTAACTATATTTTTCCTCGTGTGAATTTTTCTTCTTTGGAGTGCTTGGAATCTGTTGGGTTTTAGTTTTGATCCTTTTTCCAAGAGCACCCTTTACCTGCTCCCACTGATTGGAACACCTGCAGCAAACAGCCACACTTTTGTTTTTTCTACCATTGTTTGTTGTTTGACTGACTCCCACAATTCTGGCTTATTAATCTTGAGTTGAGTAATGGCACCACTTTCCGAAGCTATTGTGGAAAAATATGTTTTTGGAAGTTGGCCAGTAATTGCTGAAATATTAACCATAATCCAGGTCTTAAATGGTAAATCTAACTTCTGATCTTCTATCCATGGGTCTAGAATGATGAAAAGTTAGGATTGCTGTCATAGTGATTAACTATTCTAAAATAAATGTTAAATCTTCTGAACGGGAAAAAGGATGTTGTATATAACGGGAAGCTAAACCAGAAGATTAGGGTGATCATAAGATGTGTGTGTCATGTGAATACAACCTATACAATGAGAATAGAAGGATCTACACAGGACTCGCCAAGTCATTATTTGTGTACAATTAAATGACTAATAATTCTCACTAATACACGGAGGCAGAGACGGAAGTGATTGTTCATTCATTTGTCACTGCTGAATGTTTTGACTGTAAATGGAAGTCAAACATATATTAATTAATTGGATCATCAGAAACTAAAAGGATCTGAAGTAAAATGGGACACTAAGCAATACTAAAACTAGTACTGAAACTAGATGATCAAATTGGGCCTTTCCTGAAAGTTTTAGAATGATTTTGAATTTTATCAGAACTAGTATTAACTAGTATGAACTAGAACTAACTGCCCCGCCCCCTTTTGTTTCTAAATACTCATAAACTGTGCTTTCTAGTGGCGGTGCTTCCTGTTAAACAGAGATCTCTTCCACATAAATGACAAATTAGAGAAATATTTTGTCGTTTAAAGGGCATATATTGTGCTATTGTGCTATTTTCTGATTTATGTTGTAATGTTGTTTCCACATCACAGACATACCCAGAGTTGTGTTTTGTTCCATATACACATATTTAACAAACAAATCCTACATGTTAAGACTGAGTTTTTCTTTGAAACTTGTTTACATATGTTAAGTAGCCGTATGCTTTAGGGCAAGCTACTCGTCTTTCTCAAACATTAATAATATGGCGAAAAAACATTGCTTAGATTATAGGATAAAACATCATCTATTCTCATTATTTTTTAAAGCTGTTTTGCTGTGGAGGAGTTTAAGACATTATTTTATTATATTATAAGAAATTATTAGGCCCAGGCTATTTTTAAGTAAGCCTTTTTTATATCTGTAATAATTCTATTCACAATGGAATCTTAATAATTATTTATAAAAGCAACTAAAATTGGAATTGGGATAAGATCAAATTGGTATTGGGAACTGAAAATAGTATAAGGATCGGATCAGGAGTCAAAAAAAAAAAAAAAAAAAAACAGAGCAGGATATCCCTAAAAATGTAGTATGTAACAACACTAATTTCTGCTGTGTATGTATGTGTACCTCCAACACTCGTGTCCCGTGAAAAACACAGTGTATCGCTCCAGTCGGAAGTGAAGGGCCGCATCCACTGATCTCACTCTGGAGGGAAAACCCAAGTCTGAGATGTTTTTGGGAAAACCTTCTACAAGCTGTAGCTGGATCAGCTTCCAATACTGATCACCTGAAAATGACAATTACAAGTTTGGCTAAAGTTAACAAATTTTTTTTACAAAAAGCAAACTCAGATGGTATAACCTTTGATCTGATGGTCATGTAAAATGCTTTAATTGCCCACTTAATGCTCTCTATACATGTGACTATCATTTAACTCAGTACAGAAGTTAAAACATCATTTATTCATTCATTTAATTTAACTTACTCTAGGCTCACCTTTAAAAAACACATTGGCATTCTTCTCTATGTTCATGTAAGCAGCATCCATGTATGATGGTACACTCTCTGGCCACAGGCTGTTGAGCAGAGATATGCGGGTTTCATCAAACTGCGGGTGTTTGCGCCACATGAACCTGGAAAAGAATGACGGTGTAAAGTCGGATCTAGTCTGTGTTGTTTTTGATGAGAGCCACTGTCAGTCTGTATGATCGATGTGGAAAATACATGAACCATACACACACACACCTGTCTTTGAAAAAAAGCACTTCTTGCTGCAGCTCTGTCACAGCGTCAAAAGACAAGTCCGGGTCACATTTGTTCGGGGTTTTGGGAGGAGGCTTTTTGGAAAATATTGAGTCAAAATTTGGACTAATGCCTGGGAAAAAAAAAAAAAAAAAACATTCAAGGGTACATGAATATAGCATTGTGCATGCCAAATGAAGAGAAGTCACTATTGTTAATGTACAGAGAAAACACAAAAACATAAAACATGTCTATTGCTTCAAAAGAGGACACTGTGTTTTACCGTACAAGTGTTGGACATCTTTGACGTCTCGAAAGGAGAGCTCCAACTCACTGTTGAAATTGTATGAAGGATACATGACTGCACCAGGGTCTGAGGAGTGGGCCAGGCCAATGGCATGGCCAAACTCATGCACAGCCACAGCAAACAGATTGTAACCTAAAACATCACCATTGTTGTAACATGTACATTTCCTGGTGGAGGGTCTGCCACTTTACGTCTCCATTGAGATGCTGTTGCTTTGTCTGAATGTGATAAACTATCTTGCACTGCTATCAAGCCAAGTTACAGGTCAGATAAGAGGAGATGTGACCCTGCACATAAAATGTTTGTGGAACATTTTGGAGCATTTTAGGTAAGTCAAGACCAAATGGCCAGCCCTCCATCATTAAAGTTACACAGTGCTTCTTTAAATGGAAATTTCACTCAAATGTTTCAAAGCTGTACCTGTAGAGTTTGTGGTCCAATCTTCATCTGCATCAAAATGCACATCTCCTCCGATGTCAATGCCCGGTAAGAAGGCATGAGCCAGGATGCCCTGTTTGCCATCAAACGGAGAGCCGTCTTTGTGGTCTACAACATAATAAACATATTAAACATGTGTTTGTCCCTAACTGTGCATTCATTTTTACCTCCTGTGTAGAAAGAGATAACGATGTCTGCCTCCCTTCTGCCTCTCTTCTGAAAACGCATGGGTGTCACATTGGACCAGATCTTCCATGCTTCTCTAAAAATTTTACGGATTTGTGAGGAAGGGATAGGCAGCTTTTTCCCAACTATTCTGAAAAAAAAGTTTGGTTTATAAACAAATGTTGTATATTTAGGCTTTGAAAACAGTTTGTTCCATCTTGTGATGACATGTATTTAAACTCCATACTTCTTCACTAGAATCATTTGGATCATTTCAGCCCAAGATTTGCCAATTTCTCAGCACTAAAGGTAAAAGGTAGCTGTTAACTTAAAAACTATACCGCTTCATGACATCACAAGGTGGAACAGAGCATTTTGATCTTTGGAAATGTAGACTAATATCAAAGCATTACTCAAACAGATGTGAATGAAACAACATAACAGGTATATTTTTGATGAGGGAACATTCTGGCTTAAAGCTCTCAAGAGTTAATTTTGCATAATATAGGACCTTTAGCAAGATGAGGAATAAAAACTGCTCACTGTCTGTGGATGTTGATGTTATTTCTTTATTTTACATGAATCTACTCCCTCCAGAACAGTGATTTAACTGTTGCTGAACTATTTGTACATCTTAGTTTTACCTGTAGCTAATTTTGCTTTTGGTCCACCTCATTGTTTCCCCAAATGACTCCACATCTGACAAACCACACCGGGGCTTCTTCATTACAGCCAGAGTGTCTTTGCTTAGCTCTCCAGTTGGGGGCAACCCAAAAAACTTCTGCATCTGTTTTATTTTTTCACAAAACCCTGTCGACCAATCAGCATCGACTTCATTCTCTGAGCTCCTCTTTGCTCTCCGCTCTGGTTGGTAGCCATAGTAGTGCATCAGATACACCTGGACACAAATTATATGTTATGAAATACACTGTGTTTATCTTAACTGTAACATCAGCTGTTCATGTTTTTACAGTACACACATTCCACACATTTTCTGAAAGAGATACTATACTTATATTCATAAAGCATGTTGAGTCATTTACAACATAATCACAAGTTCTGGTTCTGCAACTGCTGACAACAAAAAAGCAAATCTACAAACTTAAAATTAATTACAGAATGTACCTCACCCCAAAAAAGTGTTTCAAGTATTTATTTATTTTTTTTTATGTGGCTTTATAATTTGGATAATGCCTTTTTAAAAGTTTATCTTGAAATCGCACACTCTCCTTTAATCATATTCTCTGTTGTCTGTTCAAAGTGGAAACAGATGACTAGGATCATTAGTCATTAAAACAATTTATCAATATATTACAAACTTGTGGTTTGATATAAGTATGATGCTATTATGGTTTTAGTTAATTGGTTTAGCACCAACTATTGATTAAAAGCCATTTAAAGTCACAAAGCATAACTTTACAGTGCCAAAAAAAAATGATTAAAATGAAGCCATGTTTTGTTTTTATGGTTAAAATAAAGACATGTTTTTGTTTTTAATGATTAAAATGAAGACACGTTTTGTTTTTTCATTTTGATTGTCCATGAAAATGTTGTTCCTTTGGCTATAATTTTCCACAGTATAGCATATCAAACTTTTTTCAGACTCTATTACGGAATGTTCCAGAGTATGGTTTTAACTCTCTGTTTCCATGGAATCATATAGATGACATACTATCTCCAGAAAGTAACATACTGTGCTTTGAATTTGAGTTAAAGATGCAGTCTGCCACATGTCTCTCTCTCCATGGAGATCTTATTGCTTTGTTAGCATATTCTACAGTATTTCATGCATTAAATTTTTCATTGTGTTCATGTGGAAATTTGACAATAAACTTTTTTAATTGAATTGAATAAACTCAAACCTCCACCCTCAGAAAATTTACATGCAGTTACAAGCTCCAGTACAAAACAGGGCAATATTAACACTGCAGTCCACACTTAGTCCAAGCCATAAATAAACCATGACATGCTCAGGTAAATGAGCTCTTAAAGTGTCCAAATTGAGTGTACATACCTCGGCAAGAGCCCTCTCCTCCTCTGATGGGACAGGATGGTGGGATTTTGGTGGAGATGGAGACTGGACTGGTGCAGAGTTCACCAGATTTAGCCAGAACAGAGTGAAAATACACAACCATAGCATCTTCAACGCAGATGACAAACTTGAGTCTGCACTGGGGCTGTATGCAAAGAAGCACTTGGGGACCACCTGTTAATTATCCCTAGTCCTGTCCCAACAAGAAGAACAAGGTGGCTTCATACACACATTACCTATTTAAGGTTTTTCCTAATAAAACTACCAACATTACACTTAGCGACCAAAATGGGATTGCAACACTGACAATTTGGAAATAATTAAATTCATATTTTTAGCTCACAAATTTAAATGTTGCATGTTTTGATAGCAGGTTGAATTTTCCCTATAGGCATACAGTATGATAATATACGGTATGCACTGATGACAGGGTTTATATATTTATATCTCTTTGGACTAATAGGCTGCCAGAATATCCTAGATAACATCATTGTAATATAAAAGATTTAGAATACAGAAGCATTTGAGTAGTGCCAGAGGTCCTTGTGGTTTGGACATTTAAGGCTCTTTAGTGCATATTGATGACTTATTACACTCATTATGCCACTGTTTATGGAGAGATAATATTACAAATGATGATATGTTATGGTAAATTTAGGAGTTTTGACTTTGAGCCAAGATCCAACAAAGATAAAAAGTCCTGTATTACATAAAGTTTAATCTTTTAAGGTTTAAGCCTTGTTATAATGTTAATCAAAAACATACCTGGAGATGTATTTTATTTTGTTTTTTTTCTCACTCATGTTTAAGTAATCATTTATCTGTCTACATCTCCAAAGATCAAATGCTCTGTTCCACCTTGTGATGTCATGTAGTGGTAGTTTTCAAGTTAACAGGTGCCTTTCACGTTTAGTTTAGTAGAGATTTGACATTCCAGGGCTGAAATGATCCAAATGATTCTATTGAAAGTGTATGGGATTTACAAATGCTGTGGACCACTTCTTATTGTTTGGACCTATTTCCACGTGACACCAACAGAGTGTTTTCTTTTTGAGAGAAGAAAACATTCTAAATATGCAGGATGATTGTGGTAAACAAAAATGTGTGAATGAAACAAAACACAACTCCGGGTATGTTTTTGATGAGAAAACTATATTTTAACATAGATAGGAAAATAACGTAATATGGGCCCTTTAAGTATAGAAGTGTGTATATGAACTTAATAGCACTTATATAGCACGTTATAATTTACTTTTTCATAACTAACATGTTTAATTATGAAAAACAATATGGTTTGGGGGGTAGATCATGTTAATGTCAAAGTAGAATAATGTAGCTGACAGCTGCTTTCTCATTTTACAATTCACACATGAGATTCATAGTTAGTTCTTTGTACTGACCTATAGATGACGCAATATTTTATGAACTAATTTTTGACCCTTGGCTTATAAAAAATGTTCACTTTTGCCTCTGTTGCAATGGCATGACAAGACATGCAGCATATAGTTTTTATTTAGCATCAAAGGGGCACAATGAAACGTTTTTGGTGAAGGATCCATCACCTGCTTGTCCCTCACGGATGTTATTTCTTTGCCTGGAATGTGGAATGCACAGAATGGCATTAAACAACACACTGTGTTTGTGAAAAAGAGTTTCCCCTCTAGGATAAAGTCTAAAGTCTTTCTCCATGGGGACAAGCAAGTGACACCACCAAACCAAGTTACAGGTCAGATCTGTGCAGAGGTGACCCCACTCCAGTAAGAATTCCATGTTTTTTCAATGTATTTTCAGCAAGAAAAATGTCTGTAATTGAAAATAGCAAGCAATAAGTCCAATACCAAACATTCCAGGCAACGTACCAGAATCTCCATGGAGACAAGCAGCCCCCCTACTAGAAATGTTACACAGTGCACCTTTAAATTTAGACAGTTCTCTGTACCAAGCAGATTTTAATTTATGAGTTTTTATGCTTAGAAGACATTTTTAACACGCTATGTACAGTGTTGGGGAGTAACGGATTACATGTACAGGCGTTACATAATCAGAGTACAAATTATGAGTAACTGTATTCAGTTACTCATAATTGGTAATTGGATTACAGTTACTTTGTTGAAATAAATGGATTACACAGCAGTATTTTCCTGTTTTCACATTTTAGGCGAAACCAGGACTAAACCAGAACTAAACCAAGTCTAAACCAGGACTAAACCAGGAGTAAAACCATGTCTAAACCAGGACTAAACTAAGACTAAACCAAGTCTAAACCAGAACTAAACCAGGAGTAAAACCTTGTCTAAACCAGGACTAAATCAGGACTAAACCAGAACTAAATCAGGACTAAACCAGGTCTAAACTAGGACTAAACTAGGTCTAAACAATATGACACTAACAGTAGAGTGGACATACTCATATAAACTTCTCATTTCTCATATAAAAATCATTTCTCTATCAATAATATTTTTAATATGGTTCTTTTAGCAGACAAAACATCTTATGTTCAGATCCTTCGTCTTTGCTACTTTACAGCAAACAAAAGTCTGTTCATGGAGACTTGTGCTCAGTCAATTTGAAGAGAACAAACATGAATTTTCAGGATGTGGTTGGTACATTCATGTAGTTTTAAAAAACATGACAATATCAAGTAATCCAAAGTATTCATATTATGTTACTCACCTTAAGTAATTTAATGGATTACATTACAAACTACATTTTGAGGAATGTAATATGTAATCTGTAGAGGAATAGATTTTAGTGTTAACCAGTGTTTCCCAACACTGGCTATGTATGACCAGGAGTTTGAATTTTTAGGTAAATACAGAGCAGGGGGCGGGGATAAGGGTTAGGTGAAACTGTAATTTTCGGAACATTCAAGCCTTGAATGCAGGGCAATACAGGATTACTTAAACATGAATCAATCAATCAAATCTGAGTAAGATAGTGCTGATGGAACAGTATTATAACAAGTCTATCCAATTTTGCATAATACACATTCTTTTAAAACCACAGCCTGCAGTAGTGGTATGAATCTTCACTTTGTAACTGTGCCATAATCAGCTTTGTTGAATGTGTTTGGACTGGTTCTGGGAGCAGATGATGCACTGCAGGTGTAAATGTTTAGGTGCGTTTTGAAGGTGGGTGTATTTTTGTTCACATTTGTCAGCTGTTTGGAGCTGACTCAAGTCGGGAACTCCAGGATTACACCAACTGGAAGAGAGCAGCTCATTATGATGAATCAGCAGTGCACGTCACATTCACAAATACTACAAGCCTATGTTTACACACAATACAAAAGCTGGAATACAGCTGCATATTACACAGTTTTTGTAATGTATATAAAAGGACTGAGTAACGTTTACAAAATGTCAAAGGAATAACAGAAAAATATGAACTGAATACTGAAAGGGGTGTGAGTATGTCATGAATGGACTGAGTGCATAATAATATAACCAACGCAACCTGCAAATACTGTAATATCTTTTTACACTTTGCTGTAAATATTACTGCCAGTAACACTGAAGTGTAATAATACTGTGGCGACACTATAACCTGCAGTGATATATTACTGTAAAGTCAGTCTTCTGTACATAAAATGATACTGTACATTGAACATACAATATCACTACTGTGATACTCCACTTACAGTATATTACAGTAACTTACTGAGTGTTACTGTAATATTTTACACAAGTTCAGTTGGACAAATTACAGTAAGATTAGGAGCTAAAT